GCGGGACTATAAGAGGAGAGAAGATAGGAGGCGACGGCTGAAGCTGCAGACACACGGGCAACAGGAGCGGCTGGCACAGTGGCTACCGGGACAGTGCCCCGGACTACTGGAGTAACTGGCTCGGCGGCTACGAGGAGCGGCAGGAGCAACGGACCCAGGGGCGACAGGCGCAGCAGGCTCTCTGGGCTACCAGGACAGCGCCCCGGACTACAGGTGCTGCGGACGACAAGACGGCAGCCTCCGCTCAACCTCCCCTGACTGTCCCACCCCCCTTTCACACACCCCTTGCTGCACCCCTAGCTCCACTCCCACGTCACCCCCCTAGCACCACTCCCTCGGCTCCCACACACCCACCCCCCTCAGCAGCAGCTGCAGCAGTGGGAGACGGAGGAGGAGGAGGAGGAGCAGGGGACGGCCCACACACCCGCCACCACCATACCGGTCACCCCCATACCCTGAGTGTGCGGTAAGCGAGCTCAGGTGTGCGCGAAGCGTGCACAAGCGTGCGGGAAGCGAACTCGGGTGTGCGGTAAGCGAACTCCGGTGTGCGGGGAGGGGGGGCCGCAGGGCGACGCGCGGGTCCACGGGAGTGGCGCACGGGTCCGACGGGGTGGCGCGCCGGGATGGCGGGGGCCGCGCGCGGGTCCCTAGGGCGACGCGACGGGATCGCGGGGGGCGCGCGCGGGTCCCCAGGGGCGACGCGACGGTCGACGGGGGGGACGCGCGGTTCTCCGGGGGCGGCGCGACGGTCGACGGGGAGGGACGCGCGGGTCCCCGGGGTGACGCGACGGTCGACGGGGAGGGACGCGCGGGTCCCCGGGGTGATGCGTGAGGCAGAAAACCGCCGCGCGCCTCGGGGCGCACGGCGGGCAGAAAACCGCCATGCGCCCCGAGCGCGTGGCGGGAAGAAAAAAAACGTCGCGCGCCACGGGGCGCGCGACAGACAGGATAGCAGCGGAAGCTAACGGTGGGCCCATAGGCAAGGAGCGTAACAGCTCTGATTCCATGTCAAGATAGTAGCGAGAGTTAGGAGCCATAGCTAGGGTTTACCTAGCTAGGCAAGAGAGAAATGAGCAAAGGAGGATGTTCACTACCAAGCAGGTGGATACATATAGGAAACCCTAAGGGGTCATACTCACTACAGAGTACCCCACTGCAGGCTAGAGAAACTACATTCTGACAGAGTTTTCAGTCTGACAGGGGAGGAGAATACACCTCACAGAGGTTCAAGCAGTACTTTGCAGAGAGAGGAATCAAGCGGCTCATCTCCCTTCCCTACGCTCATCAACAGCAGGGTGTAGCAGAAAGAATGAACAGGACCCTTCAGAACACCATGCGCAAGCTGCTACGTGGCATGCGACTACCCAACCACCAGTGGCCCGAGGCAATGGACCACGCCGTGATGCTGCACAACTTGCTTTCGTCATCATCGCTCCCGAACAACGCATCACCGCATCTGCTGTGGACAGGAAAACTGGGCAGCACAAAAATGTTGCGAAATTTCGGCTGCATGGTACAGTACCGACCCCCAGCTGCACGCGCTGGCCGATTCTCCCAACGCGCACAGTGGGGACTACACCTGGGCATTGAAAAAAATTACAACGCGTGGAAGATTTTCGACGTCCACTCAAAGGAAACAGTAGCAGCACGTGATGTCATTTTCTACGAGCGACTCACCCTTTCAACGTACCTGTACAAATCACGAGATGTCACAGGCGGATTTCGTGGGGACCGAGCCTTCGCTTCGGCAGAAGATGAAGCTGACCTGGACGAGCAGACCATGGACGGAGCTTCGGAAGAAGCCGGACCACTTCCCTACTGCTCGGTGGGTATTCCAATGGACGATGACAACCCTCGCGAAAGCATCAACGCCGAAGTCTTCTACGACTTCGCCGACAACGGTTACGTTACACCCGCCCGAGTCAACACCAACGAAGCCGAACGCATAGGACCCAACTTCTTACCTGATCCAGAAGAAGGTGACGAAGCAGCTTATCCCGAGGATATGACATTTCCCTGCTACACACAGAGCGGACTCCAGATACTTGGCCTCGTCACCGCGGTTCACGGCACGGAGCTTCCTAAGGAGCCTGCCACGGTTCAGCAGGCTCTGGGGGGGGAGCATAGGGAAAAATGGCGCGAAGCCATGGACAAGGAGCTGAAAGCACTGGAAGAACGGAACACCTGGAAAGTTGTTCCCATCGGCGTGGTACGCAACAAAACGGTACTCACAGGAAAATGGGTCTTCCGTGTGAAGACAAAGGCAGACGGCACCATCGACAAGTTTAAGGCGCGCTGGGTCGTACGCGGTTTCGACCAAGAGCACGGATGTGATTTCACCGAGACGTTCGCCCCGGTCAGCCGACACACTTCACTTCAAATTCTTCTCGCGATCGCCGCCATGAAGAAGAAGAAGCTGCGGCAAATTGACGTCGCCAATGCATTTCTCTACGCACCTGTTGACGCTGAAATCTTCGTCGAACTTCCACACGCCTCCAACGGAGAGCCCAACCAAGTCTGTCAGCTGCTGAAGTCCATGTACGGCATCAAACAGGCTCCAAGACTGTGGCAGCAGTATCTACACGCTCGACTCATCCGCATCGGATTCCGACAGCTACCACACGACCAGGGCATGTACCGGCTCACGAAAGGTGACGACTACATTCTGCTCATCGTCTACGTGGACGATCTGCTCTACATCGGCTCAACTGACAGCGTCACTACTTGGTTCGAAGGGGAGCTGCAGCAGGACCTCACTCTCACAGTGTCATCAACCGTCACGCAATACCTCGGCCTCAACATCCAGGAAGAGGAAGGCGCGATCTATCTCAACGCCGCGAAATATGCCGACACTATCGCCAAACGCTTCGGACTCACCCCGATCACCATCCCCACGCCATACCGCTACACCGCAGGAAATCACAAGGAAGGCTCCGCTCCGCTCAAGCCCGCAGGCATACGCGACTACCAGAGAAAGCTGGGGTGCCTCCTCTTCGCGGCCGTCACCTGCCGTCCGGATCTATCGTACTCTGCGAGTCAACTCGCCACCTACCTCAAAAGGCCTGAGGCAGAACACATGGCGGAGCTCGACCGCGCTCTTCACTACCTCGTTAGCACTCCGACGATCGGCCTGGCCTATCACAAGAACGGAACCTCGACACCTAAGTTAATCGGCTACGTCGACGCCGATCACGCCGGCGACTCCGACAACAGACGCTCGCGCACCGGCTACATCTATCGCTTCGAACCTATCGGACCTATCTCCTGGCAGTCGAGCAAGCAGGAGTTAATCGCCCTCTCCTCAGCTGAAGCAGAATATATCGCACTCTGCTCAGCCACCAAGGAAGGACTGTACCTTCGCGAACTCCTGGAGGAAGCGAAGCTGGCTCAGTTACCCAGCTTCTCCCTGTTCTGCGACAACCAGTCAGCAATTCGCATAGCCAACAAAAATGGATTCGCGAACAGGACGAAGCACATCGCCCTGCGATATTTCTTCGTGAAGGATGAGATCGAGAAGGGGAGACTCGAGCTGTCTTACTGCCCCACGTCCGAGATGGCAGCTGATTACTTGACCAAGAAACTCGGAAAGCAGAAGTTCGAGTACTGCATGTTGCTGACTGGACAGAGCCACGTCACCAGCAGCGACACTCCAGAAGCGAAGGGGAGTGTTGGAAAAAAGTGATTCAAGCGCCTCTGTCGCGTCGAAACACTAAGTCATAAACGAAGCGAAACACAGCGAAGCATCAGCGAGTCAACCCTCGGAGGTTGAGTAACTGCTGGAGGTTACGCGAAAGTCAAAGGTCATCGACCTTTGACCTGACAAGTACAGCACGACAGCAAGGACAAACAACTGACTCGCTATCGAGCAGTTGCCCGAGTCGTCTCTGTATCGAACCGCAACAGCAAACAGTAAAACAGTTATTAGTTGCATCTTTTCATATTCCTTGTACTCTTATAAAAGCCTTGTATCTCTTTGATTAATTAATCTACTTTGCCCTCACATACCAGCGCAAGGTGGTTCACAGGCTTATAATTAAACGCTTCCGCTATTACATTGTTCCTACTCAGAGTTTAGTTCTGCAAAGATCCTAAGGGCTTTTCTCAGCCCAACACGCGCGACGGGCTGGCCTAGGCGCACGCGACGGGCTGGCCTAGGGCGCGCGCTACGGGCTGGCCTAGGCGCGTGCGACGGGCTAAGGAGGGCGCGCACGTGAGGGGAGGGCGCGGGCTACGCGCGGAGGGTGCGGAGGCGCTGAGGGCGCGGAGGGTGCGGACGGCACGGAGGGCTCTAGGGCGCGGAGGGCGCTAGGGCGCGATCGGGGCTAGGCTAGGCGAGGATCTATCCTACTCATGATACCATCTTAATAATGGAGTGCAACGGAATGATTGTGATTAGCAAAGCAAGGGGTACAAATAGGAAACCCTAAAACTGTTGTACTCACTAAAGAGCACCTCACTGTTGCCTACAACAAATAACAACATTTGACATATTATCCCACATTAAGTATACACTTTTCTGTTTCTGACTCCATTTGCATAACTTGTGCATCGTTAATAAACTTTATATAGAATTTAAATTTCATGACAACACGGGGATGATGATATGGATCAAGTGGATTTTTTGAGGTGGTTCAGAGGAAGATCTGCTACATTTTTTACAGCCCTTGCATTCAATACTTCCATGCTGATGTACTAAATTGAAATGCAGAAGAGAAAGTTGCCAGGTACCCATAAAGCGGATCACCTAAGGTGGTTCTTGCCTTAGCGGAAGCCTTGTTTGGTCTGGATTCAAAATCTTGCCGATCGAAGCACAAGTCGCTCAAGTCTGGATTCTTGAGGGGTACTTCCTTGCTGTCCGGAAAACAGGACTGGTCCCACACACTGCACCGCGCCGCATTCCGTGCGACCTGCTGCCTACTTTGTTTCCACAGATCCCAATTCGCCGCACTCGATCATTTAAAAGCAGCTTTCTCTTTATCTGTAGCCTTTGTGAGTCAGAGATGAAGCGGTTGACTGCAGGTGGCAGCGGAGGTAGCAGCAGCGGCAGCGTAAGCTCGAGCGGAGATCCCCGGAGACCAGACGCGGTTAAGAAGTATGTCCCGCCGGTGGTGAATGCGGAGGATCTGCCGATCGACATGGCGAGCATGATGGCCATTTTCTTCGGGATCGCCGGCGTCATGATGCGGGTGAGCGGAGAGGGGTCGGTGTTCTTAGATACTGATTGATGATGTCGGCGTGGGAAGCGGAATGTGTCTAACGTGGAGCTGAAACTTCGGGATCGCCGGCGTCATGATGCGGGTGAGCGGAGATGGCTAAGTTTTCTTAGATCCTGATTGATGATGTCGGCGTGGGAAGCGGAATGTGTCTAACGTGGAGCTGAAACTTCGGGATCGCCGGTGTCATGATGCGGGTGAGCGGAGAGGGCTAAGTTCTCTTAGATCCTGATTGATGATGTCGGTGTGGGAATGGGTCGGAAGAGGTGCAGAAATATTGGGGTCGCCGGCGTTATGATGCGGGTGAGCGGCAACGGCTGGTTGTTTCCAAGATCCCTTTTGATATTATTGGCGTTGGGGATGCTTTGAGGAGGAGCCTAAACATTCATCGGGATGCACGTGGTGATGCGAGTGAGCGGAAAGGGCTCGGAGTTTCAGGATCGTTATTAGATGTCGGTGTGCGGGGGTGAATGGGTGCTTTGAGGAGGCGGCGTAACAATGGGTGAGAGGAGAGAGGCAGGGAACGTCTCAGCGAACGGACTTTGTTGCTATATGCATGACATGACAAGACGAATTGAAGACGATCGGAGATATTTTTAAGTACTGGTTCTGGTTCAGCTACCCGTTCTTGCTTTGGCCGTTTTCTCTTCCCCTCTTCCACTCCTTTGTCCAATCGTGTTCTTCCCGCTCACAAGCATCCGTTCTCGTCCTTCTCCCATCTGTCTGACTCTATTTTCTCCATGCAGCAAAAGCTTGCCTGCTGGCTGGCACTTCTTTGCGCAGCACAAGCTCTGGCAAACATGAAATATGTGGAGCATGATCTAAAGCAAATAATTACTGCGCTCAGGTAAGGATCGCTACCCCAGCTTATCCTGCATTTTCTGTGCATACGTTCTAGAAGGCTGAGCTGTTTCTTGTTATCATGTCCCGGCTGGGAGGACCTTGTCTTCTGTTCTGCTCCTTCAATTTTCTTTCCGTGACTCACATTCCTTGCCTTGAGCTCCTAGTTTTTGTTCACTGTGCACCTTTCATAAACCCGCTTGTCATATGCGGATCTCTTATGCTTCCCTACGCTGTCTTCCACTTAACTTGGCTGCAGTTTCGCGGTTATGGGCATCGTGACAAATTATTTTGCACCAGTGCCGGTACACCCTGATGCAATAGCAGCAGGCCAACAAGGCTGACTGGGATTTTCCTTTGCATATTTGTAATTCACGTGTGTGTAATATATGGGCCCCTTATCAATAAGTTTGCATGGAAGATTGTCACCAGCTTGTGATGTTTATATTGACAAAACCCCAGGCTTAGTGTATGCATGATCAGATAGACTTGTGATGTTTAGTACTAGATGCATATCAAATTGACAATATGGGAGTCTGCCTGATAAGCTCGGCAACAGCCTCGGCTACTGCCGAAGCATGTTATGTCAATTCATCGCAATTGCTGGTTGCCCTGGAAAAGGCTTTTATAGCCTGGCAAAAACAAGCAACCCGTCCGGGGTCTGGTCCCAAAAATGTTATCACCTCTTTCCCGCTCCAAGAACCTCGACTCACACAATCTCGCTGTACTCCACGTGTTTCCTCGTGTACTTCCAATTCGCATTGCCAGTTGGAACCTGGCTCTTACTAGTTTTGCATTTCTTGCCCGATTATGGGAGGGACACATGCGCAATCAGAAGTATTCCCTGCCTCTGCCGAAGCGAATTTCCGAGCCTGAGCAGCTTCTCTCGGGGTGACCCAACATCCTCTTTCCACACCTCCCCGCATTTGAACCTTGAGCCCCTCGCTTCAGCTTTCTGGTCCGACCTGAACCAGTTTCTCTGCATCAGCCCTTTTTCAGGATTTCTGAAGAGAGCTTGTTCCTGGAGAGCTTGCTTGTGAAAGTTGTCTTCAGTTGCTTCTCAGCATTTCAGAGGCTTGCTTCTGAATCCAGCTCTTGTATCAGTGCTTGCTCCAATGACAATGACAATGACTCCATGGCCATGGCGGAGAGCTTTAACTCGACCAATGTGTAACAATTTCTTGACATTTCAAGGATTAGAAGCTTCTAGGCGATGCACGGCTTTAAGCTCTTTACAACGGTGCTTTTATAGTGTTCATTACGGGAACCTAGACACCTGTTTTTTGAGTTCCAGGCTATCGTCAGAGCTACACCTAACCTTAACTCAAGAGGTTTCATGCTTTCATCAACAGAGTTATCAGCAGCTCCATGGATCCTTCCGCGGTGCACAGTCATCTCTGGCTGCTGCGCGTGTCAACACCAGGGGTTTTAAGCATCAAGTTTCCCAGGTCTCTTTGGAAAGCAACTACCAGGGCAGGGAACCATTCTCTAAGGCGCCTTGCACAACCTCTGGTCTGGATCTGCAACGGTTTGCCTTCAAGCACAGGAGATATAAATCGCTGGTTTCCACTCAGTATGTGCTCAGAACAGCTTGTTTTTCAGCCATTTCTCGGCTGTTAAGCATATCTCATCATCGCATCATGGCGAAGGGACGCAACAGCAGGAATGGCAAGAAAAGCGTGGACAATGCGCAGGCTAAGGGAGTGTCGGACGTACCTGACGTACCTGTGGAGGGTCCCGTCGGTGGTGAGAAATCGCCTGCAAGCTCGGCGTCGGACACGGTTTTGGGTCCTTTCGAAGCTCTCCTGGATCTGCCGATTGGTGCTGAGCAAGCTGCTGGATCAAGCCAGAAAGAGTCGGATGGGAAGGAAGAATCTGCTGCTCATCTGCAATACCCTGATGCGGAGGGGGGATCAAAGGATGAGGATGCTGCCGGTGACATTGACAACAACGGTGATGACTTGCAGCAATCTGAATCCCCTGGGGATGAGGATGATGGTTACCTGAGTGATGACTCTGACGAACATCTGGAGCCGGATTCGCTTAACAGTGTCATTGCTCTTAAGCGATTCTCACTAACCTTACTGGTGCCGATTCTCAGGAGTGTTGAAGTCAAGCGTGCTGCAGTGACAGTAGCTGCGATGCTGGATGAATGGAAGGAGCTGCTATCGTCAGAAGTGCTGCAGACTACGACGTACCAAGATCTAACGGCGGTGTACTTCTCTGGTGCACGCTACGGACGGCTGCAAGTCACTTTCAACAATGTCCGGGACGCAAATTTTGTCTGGAATCAAGTCATTCGCCATGAGTGCGTAAACGGAGACTTCATTGATCTCGCCTGGCAGCATCCGGAGGACGCGCGTTTTCTCCGTGAGCGTGTGCTGAACCCCATGGCTAAGGAGATTGTGGTAAAAAATGTACCGGCGGACTTAACAGCGGAGTTGGTTCGTCGGCTGTTGGTGGTGTCGAAGCTGGTCAAGAGAGGAAGGAGTGCGTTCGTCAGCGGCTTTGGCTTCCATCGGGTGGTTGACCCAGTGACTGGGCTGGATACGGATCGCATCCGTGGTCTGATTATCCCGCACGCTGGTGATGAGTATCGGTGGAGGTATTTTGTGGAAGACCCTACCACAGGGAAGCGTTACCTGCTGCACTACCCGTCGCTGACCTGTGACCTTTGTGGGGGTCAGCATCTGTCGCGGTACCACGATCGTTACGTCACACCGAGGCAGGAGAACTTCAGCAACTGGAACCTGTCTGTTAAGAAGGTTCACGAGATGAACGGTATAAGCAGTGGGGAGCCTTGCCCGCTGTCGGTGTGCTCCTTGCCTCTTGTTCTTACCCTCTCCCACGATACTGACGGATCTCTATCTTTCCCTCCTCGCAGCTGCTTCCTTGATAGCTTCAGACCTCCTGAAACGCATCATGAGGGACCCGGCAGTTCTCCTTTCTTCTACCGGGGGTGCGCGGGAGGAGTGGATCTGTGTTCAGGCATCATGCGAGAAGGCACAGGGAAACCGCTTCGAACAAGCATCTTTGCACATCGCATCAGCTCGGCACAAAGGGGGGCTCAAGAAGGAGGGATCGGCAACGCGTGTCAGTGTGTCTTCTCAGAAGATGATTGCGTTCAAGAGGGAGTACGTTGCAAAATCGGCGAAGTGAGGAACAACTGCAGCACGGGGGGGATTGCTTCACAGCAACATGGTCGCGTTTTCCGCCGTAACACCCAGGAGGGAACTTCTCGAATAATCTGCCCAGGGAGGCTGAAGGCAGTGGAAACATGGGAGGTTCAGAGGGACAAGGTGACTCAGGAGCTTCATGCAGTAGCAGTAGGTGGAACAGTAGTTTACATCTCGCTAGCATCAGCAGTAATCTGTGGTGTCATCTTGGCAGTAAGAATCTTTAACCGTTGGAGGCTGTTGACAGCAGCGAAGCGTGACGCAACACAACTTTCAGACCCGTGGATGAAGAGGGGTCTTAATCAGTGGTCAAATGGATAAAAACCATGAACTTACCATCGGCGCGCTCAATGTCAATGGATTGGGCCGCGCGGAGAAGCAAGAGGGTTTGCAGGAGTGGCTTAACAAGTCAAGGGGAATCGTAATACTTACAGACACAAGGTTGCAGGAAGACCACAACTTCTGGACTCAAACAGGGTCGGAGGCGAGGGCAGTGGTCTCGTCTGCTGACACGGCAGGAGGGGTGGCAGTGTTGAGCTTTAACAAAGAGGTTGTTTTCAGTGATACCCGTGTACATGAGTCGGGAAGACTGGTAGCGGTTTCTGTTCGTTGGAGGGAGCTGGCATGGACGCTGGTAGCAGCGTATTTTCCTGCTCAAACAACGACAAGGGGGGCCTTCTACAGAGAGTGCCTGTCAGTTTTTGTGGACACACTTCCGGCCTCGGGTCATCTGCTGTTGGCGGGCGATCTGAATATGGTGGCTGACCCTATCATGGATAAGACATCAAAGGGGGGTTCGGATGCGGAAAATCAAAGGGTGCTGGACTTTTTTTCGAGGTGGGACCTGAAGGATGCATTCAGAACGTTATATCCGTCGAAGCTGGAGTATAGTTTTCTTGCGAGGTCGACGATGACGAGCTCGCGTATTGATCGCGCGCTGGTTTCGGCCTCGTTGTTACCAATGTTGGCGGATGCGTATCATATGGCGACTCCGGTGGGAGTCACTGATCATTGGTTTGGTGTCACCACAGTGCTGGCGGCAAAGACGGGAACAGAGGGGGGACCTGGGTTATGGAGAATGCATGCTGCGCAAGCAAGCAGTCCGGGGGTGCGGAACACGATTCAGAAGGTGCTACAAAGTCAGTCAGGGCAGGGGGGGAAGAAGCTGCAGTCCACCTTCACCATGCTGCAGGCCAGCCTCAAAGCCCATGCAAGGGAGGAGAGGAAGAGGATTGGGAGAACCATCGCTCACCTGGAGGATAGGGTAGCTGCGTTGAGACAAGAGTTTATGGCGGATACGGGTTTACAAGGTAAGTTTGATGAGCTGGTGAAATTCGAAGCGCAGCTGAAAGCATACAGAGACAGCCAAAGGAAGCGGAAGCAGACGATGGCAGGAGTAGGAGAGGAAATGGCTGGGGAGATTGCGACAAAATTCTTAACCAGGAGGATTGCGTCCAAGAAAGCAAAGACGTTGATTAAGATGGTGGTTCATGACGGGAGATGCTACGATGGGGAAAGAGAGGTGCTGTCGGCAGCATCGGATTTTTTCACCAAACTTTTCCAGGGTAAAACGCAATCTGCTGAGGTGGAAGAGTGGCCGATAGACCCGCAGAAGGTTTTGGATGGTGAGGGGGTGAGCCGCTTAGCTGCGCCATGGTCGGAAGCGGAGGTGAAAAAAGCGATAAAGGAGCTCCCGAGAGGCAAGGCGCCAGGAGCGGATGGTCTGCCGAAGGAGCTGTTGGAAGACAATTGGGACCTGTTGGGGGTCACTGTGATGGACTTCATGAGGGAGTTTGAGGCTACTGCGAAACTGCCGGAAAGCTTCTCAACGGCGGTAACGATCCTTCTGCATAAAAAGGGGGAGAAGACAGATCTGGGTAACTACCGGCCGATTACACTTCTAAGCGCGGTGTACAAGATAGTCGCGAAGCTGCTGGCGAACAGGATGAAAAAAGTATTGCCGCAAGTTATCTCGGAGAACCAGTTCGGCTTTGTCCCAGGCAGGAGGCTTGCGGATGCGGTCAAAGTGGTAGCGGACACGATTGATGCTGCGGTGCAAGGGAGTGAGGACTGGTGCTTACTTCTTGTCGACTTCCAAAAGGCCTACGACTCAGTGTCGCGCACCTTCCTCTTCCGCACGCTGGAACAGATGGGCTTTCCGGAGGTCTTCATTAAGTGGTCCAAAGGGCTTCATGACCAGGCAGCGACACAGCTCCTAATAAATGGATGGCTGGGAAAGAAGGTTGAGGTTGAGTCAGGAGTACGGCAAGGGTGCCCGCTGGCGCCGTATCTCTTCATCTGCGCAGCAGAGCCACTAAGTCAGGAGGTTAAAACAAGGAAGTTGGGGCTGCGGAAGAGAGGGAAAGGGGACCTGTCATACCTGGGGTATGCTGACGATACGACGCTTATACTTCAAGGCAAGGAGCAGCTGGCAAAGGCGCAGGAGGTACTGGAGGACTTCGGCGTCAGGTCAGGGCTGCAAGTTAACCGGGGGAAGTCAACAGTGATGCGGCTGGGGAGAAACAGGCTGCTCCCTTCGCAAACCGACACGAGTTTCAGCTGGGCAGAAAGGGACAAACCGGAGAGACTGTTAGGTATCTGGGTTACGGCAGACGGGAAAGCGGAGCCGACATGGGAGAAAACGCTGGAGCGGGTCAACACGATACTGCGAAACTGGGAAAAGCTGCACCTTACCACAACAGCGAGGGTAACGGTTCTGAACGCTTACGTGATGCCGGTGATACTCTTCCAGGCGCAAGTCTATCAGCCGCCGAAGCTGATTTGGAAGAGGATTCTGAAGTTATGTCACAACTTCATATCGAAAGGGTGCGCGGATGAGGAGAAGCACTTTATCCTTTGGAGCGAGTTCCTGGCAAACCTGGAAAGGAAGGGAGGGGGACTCGGTGTGATTAACCCGACGGACAGAATCAACAGTCAGGCGTTATGGAACCTCGGGGCAGCCCTGCTGGAAGAGAACTCGATAAAGCAGTGGTTGATGGAGAAGGCGGCGAACATGCCCCTGGGTTGGGCAACATTGCTGGCGCATAAGGCCATTCTTGCTGAGTGGAAGGGAGGCGGGGAGCGGTGGCAGTCGTTGGTGCCGCTCGTATGGGAGAAACAACTGCCGGAGCTACCGGAACCTGCGGACAGGTGGGAGATGGAGAAGGAACAGTTGTGGCTCAGCAAGTGGATTCACTATCAAGGCAGTAGCCCGTTCGGGAAGCAAAAAGGCTCGGAATGTCTGAAGGGGATGACAGTAGGGGACGTACTTCAGGAGGAGTATAACGGTAGTCGGGTGGTGAAAGATTTATGGGCGTTAACTAAGCAGACAGGGAGATCGTCCACGGCGAGGTGGGCGCTTCTGGCCTGGAAGGCAGTCCCGGAAAGCTGGAAAAACAAACTACTCGGGAAGGTGTCTGCGGAGGAAATTGCTGAAACGACTACCCTGGTCAAGGTTGGAAGGGAGACAGGGGGGAGGCAGTGTTACTGGCAAGTGGCGCTGGCGGGGGACAATGAGTTGAAGTGTGAGAGAGTGGAGGTGAAGGGAAAATCAAGCAGTTAGGTGTTGAAGTACAGCCGCCGGAGAGGCTGAGTATGTTAACCCCGATGGTGGCTAAAGGAGGGTATGTGGTGGGGTGTGTAGGTGATTCACTGACGCGACTAAGGACGTCATTTCTGTGCGAGGAAGGGAAACCTAAGGCGCAGAGGAAGCTAAGACATCTGCTCAAGAAACCGGCGCAGCAGCCTAAGCAGCAGAAGAAGTGGGAGGAGAACTGGGGAGGGAAGATTGACTGGGGAAAGGCCATCGCGAAAAGAGACTCGCTGGTGATCCCAGCCAAAGCAAGAGAGGTACTGTTGAGGCTTCACAGTTACAATTTGCAAGTGGGCAGCAGGCTGGCTTTCTTCGGTTCCCGTGCATGCTGCCCATACTGCAAGCAGGAGGAGACGCCAACGCATTGTCTGATGAGCTGCCCGGTGGTTATGGGAATATGTGGCGCGCTTCAGGACTCGCTTCGTCTGATTAACCCAACCAGAGCGGTTGGAACACTGGGAGAGTTGCTATTCGCTGAAGACAGCACATCATCCGGATTTCCGGAATCCACGCTCGTTGCGATCACGTTCAGACACATTTGGCTGGAAAGATGTGACGCGGTCTTCCGACAGAAAACTTTTGAACCCAGACGGGTGGCCAGGAAGATTGGGGCCAATTTCAGGAGGCATGCGCGGATCTACAGTGAGGGGAGCGGCGGAAAAAAGGGACACATGGGGGGGGGAGTTGGAGGAGGACAACACCTGTCAGCTGGAGAGGCGGCAGCGCTGAGCCGCATCTGTGAGCAGGACGAATGTCTGACGTGGAACAAAGCATTCAGCTCGATATGGGAGAGGCCTAGTACCTTTTTTAAGCCTCCGTAAAGGGTCAATAGGGAGGACAGTGCAAACCGTATCAGAGTGGCCTGTGTCTTCCTCTTTTCTCAGTTACGACTGTGGATGTGATGCATTGTATAGTGTATTATGTCCCAAAAAAAAAAAAAAAAAAAAAAATCAGTGCTTGCTCAGACTGGCAAGCAACTGAGCAAGACGACGGGAATTTCCTGCATTTTTTCTGATTCCCGTTCTCAGCTCCCCCGAGGGGACCATTCCGAGTCTGGCAAACTGGCATCAACGGCGTGTGAATTCGTGGGAGGGAGGTGGGTAGGGGAGGGTAGACGCAGCATTAGTCGCTACACTAAGAGGAAGAAATAAGGTTAGTGATTTCGGGTGAATTCTCATAACAGGATTTTTCTGCTGTGTATCTACGCTGGCCGCCGTAGGCCTTCTGGTTAAAAAAAAATCGAACGTGAAAAAAGAAGGTTTCAGTTTTTTGTAAGTGACTGTGGCGAGTACCGTCTGAAAACAATCGGCAAGTCTTGCGCTTCTGACGCTTCAGATAAACGTTTTGGCGGAAATCCACATTTCCCTTTGCGCGATGCATCCTTCGATGGATATCGTCACTTCCGTGGCTTCGTGGCTGTTACGGACAGTGCAGCTGAAATCTGGACCTGATGGATCTGGTTCGGACAACTCAAAGAAGCTCGGTTACCGACCAGAGAATCTACGGAATCGGAGCGGCTGCTTATAACGGATACGCAGGACTTTCTGAAATTTCTCCTGGACGGCTGTGATCGTCGAGACGAGGCATCTATGGCTGGGAACGCGGCTGACAGCTCCGTGTCTGAAAATGGGGAGGGAGCAGTCGAGGGAGAGGAGAAGGGGAAGGGGACGCTGGAAGGAGGTGAGGAAGGCGATATTGACGATGCCAGTGCCGAGGTAGGGATTGCACCCGGGAGACCCGAGAACAGCCACAAAGACAGACGCGAAGGCAACGCAGAGGAGGAAGGAAAGAAACGCGCAGCTGTTGACGCGAGGGTCCTCGAACTTGCCGTGACCGCAGTTGTGACAGTGCTGAAGGCGGTTGCTTTGGCGGAGATCCCTAATGCGCAGCTGGTGCAGAGGCTGCTGGACGTCGGTGTGCGAGCAACGCTCCACACATAGACTGAAAAGCCGTCTTCTGCAGAGGGTGTATCCGCAGGGCTTGTTGGGGAACAGTTGTTGGCGCTGGTGGCTGGTGCAGTTGCTGTTCTGGATGAGATGGTGAAAAGAGAGGAGGGGCTAGATGCGTTGAATAAGGGAGTGGGTACTTTGCAAGAGGTGCCGCAGGAGGGGGTGGAAAGCGAAGCTGATACTGGAAGAGGAGGAGTAGGAGACGGAGAACATTCAGGAGTTGAGGTTCAGTTGGGGGTTGGTAACTGTAAAGAGACTGCTGTTGTGGGAGGAGCGGGCGGGGCGAGAGCGGAAGTTCTACACGTGCTGCTGTCGTTCCTGTCCCTTGTCCTGTCCGCCTGCAGGGGTAGTGGTGGTCTGGGAAGAGGAGGGAGTGTTCTGGAAGAAGAAGAAGAGACAGGGAGGTTTGAGTTAAGAGATGAGGAATTGGGGGAGGGGATGGGTGAGGAGGGGATAGAGGATGAAGACCAAGCAGAGGAAGAGAACGAGAAAGAGGAGGGGGAGGAGGAGGAGGAGAACGAGGAGGAAGACGAGGATTCAGAGAAGGTAGAGGGCGACGACGAGGAGGAGGAAGAGGAGGAGGAGAAAGAGGAGAAGGGAAAGGTGGTTGACGATGCAGAAAAACCAGATGGTGGAGAGGACGGGTGGTCTGATGAGGAGCTTGAGAGTCGCTTCCTCAACACCCCTGCAGACTCCATCAGGACCTCCTGCTCCTGCTCATCACTCCCCTCTGCGTCTGGCTCAGCAGCAGGAACAGCAGCAGGAGCAGCAGGAGCAGGAGCAGCAGGGGGAGTTGCAGGAGCAGTGGCAGCGCCAGGGTGGTTGTCTGAGACAGATTTATCCGCGCAAGCAGCAGCAGAGGAAGACGAGGAGAGGGCTGTGGCGTCCCGCGTGTGTTCGTTCGTGGTGAGTGGCAGCAACTTCATGGAGCAGCACTGGTACCTCTGCTACACCTGCGACCTCACAGTCTCCCGCGGCTGCTGCTCCGTCTGCGCTGCCGTGTGCCACAAGGGGCACAAGCTCGTGTACTCACGCTTCTCCAGGTTCTTCTGTGATTGCGGTGCGACGGGACCGGCTCCCCCGTCGACTGCCCCTCCTGCCGCTCGCACGAGTAGTTCACTTGTGGAGTCTGCGAGGCGCTCTGCTGCTGGTGGTAGTGCTGCTGCTTCGGACGCTACAGGCTTGCCGAACCAGGGGGCTTTTAGTCAGTCGGCGACAGGTTCGGGGTCTTCGCCAGCTGCGGTTTGGGAGCGGTTCCGTTGCAGGAGGTCCGGGACAGGCTTGGCGCGGCAGGGGGAGGTTTCAAGGGGAGTGGGAAGAGGGGAAGCCAGTGGGGGGAGTGGGGCAGGCGGGGATGAAACCGTTTTCAAGGGGTGCTTTGCACTGAAGCCCCGTCCTGTGGGGTCAGGAAAACAGGCAGCGGCAGCAGGAGGGATAGGGAGAGGAGAAGGCGGAGTGGCTTTGCCAGGAGGCACGTTTGGATGGCCTGGTGGGTACAGGAATGGAGAAAAAGAGCAAGGAAGAGGAGGACGAGGAGGGGAAGGAGGAAAAGGAGGGGGTTCTGAAGTTGAAGCGGATTGGTTGGTGGGGGTGGAGGCGTTTTTGAGCCAATCAGAGCATCTGTGTTGGGGAGGGCTGTTGGGGAAGGAGAAACGGAATGGAGGGGGAGTACTGAGGTTGCAGGAGGGCTTGTGGAGCGAAGAGGTTGTGAGAGGGCTCAGGGGGGCGCTGTCAGGGAAGACATGGGGGGGAGAAGGTGAGGAGGAGAAGACAGAGGAGGAGGAGAAGGAACAGGAGGATGTTAGTGAAGCTGGGCGAAGTGGAGAAGCTGGAGTGAAGGATGGTGAGAAGGAGAAGCGTCAAGAGGAGACGCTGATCGACAGTGGAGTGGGCGTGAACGGGGACGTTGCAGCAGCAACTGTAGCAGCAACAGTAGAAGCTCCGGGAGCAGCAACATCAGCGGTAGTAGCAGCACGAGGAGGAGCAGCAGCAGCAGTGACCCGGGCGTTGGTTATCGGAGAGCTAAGTCGGCAGCAGGTTGTGGATACCATCTGCCAGCTGGCGCGCAGGCATTGGCTGAGACGCAAGGCACTGGCGAGAGAGAGGGTTGTTCAGGCGAGGAGGGGAAAGAGCAGAGTGAGGTTGGGGGAGGGAGGGGGTGGGGAGGGGGAGGACGGACTTGGTGAGGAGGGGAAGGAGGCGGTGGTGGTGGGCGAGAAGGGGGAGATGGAAGGGGAAAAGGCCGAGGTGAAAGGGGAAGCGGAGGTGGTGGAGGGAGGGGAAAAGATGGAGGTTAAAGTGGAAGGGGAAGGGTTGGAGGTGGTCGAGAGTGTGGTGAAGGAGAAGGGAGGAGGTCAGGCAAAGGAGAAGGAAGAAGGTGAGGTGAGGGAGGGGGACGAAGGAGAAGCAAAGAGGGAGGTGGAGGACGGGCAAGATGGGGCGAGTGAGGGAGTCAAGGAAGGGAAGGAGAAGTCAGGGCGTGCAAATGAGGAGCCGTCTGAGAGCAAAGAATCAGGGGCAGAAGGCTCGACTCTGCAAGGCGAGGGCAGTGGGACGGAGGAGGAGGAGGCTGGGTCCAAGGTGGGAGGTGAGGCAGTAGTTGAACCAAGCTCAGAAGGGAGCGGAGCAGGTGAGGGCAGGCAGGGGACTGCGGTGGCAGAGGTGGTTGTAGCGGCGCCAGAGGCTCCTCCCGCCCTGCCAGCAGCGCTGCTGCCAGTGGACCAAGCAGACTTAGGCAGACCTCTGCGCATGTACCCGGCTGGTTCCTTCCCTCTGCCCCCGCCTGCTCCTGTAGCAGGCGAAACAGGAGCAACAGGTGAAACAGGAGCAACAGGTGCGGCAGGAGCGACAGGAGCAGCGGATTTAGCAGGCTCAAGAGGTGTGGCAGATGTAGCAGATGCGGCAGGGGTTGGGATAGGCGGAGCAGGAGCAGCAGCTGGGCCAGCGTCGCTCTTGACGATCAGTCTCGGGGGGAAGGTGGCAATGGGGACAGGGTCGACTGTGAGGCTGTGGGAGGCAGATGATATAGTCCCTCGCACTGCTGCCAGTACAGGAGCTGATCATAGTGGGGATAATGACCACGCTGCTGCTGCCGCCACTGCCGCTGCTGCTGAGCTGGCGCCGGTAGCTTCTGACGTGGCACCTGTACCTTCGGTGGAGGAGGCAGCAGCACCGATGGAGATAGGCGAGGTGGACGTGGGGTACCCCGTGCACATGCTGGCCGTCCACCCCACCGTTCACTCGCTGCTGGCAGTCGCAGGGACGAACCAGGTCGAGGTAAGTCAGTTTCCTCTATTACTCTGGTTTGTTCAAGGCAGTAGCATCGGACCACCGGTGGGGTGGGGATAGGGGAGGTGGATTTGGGGGTACCCCGTGCACATGCTGGCCTTCCACCCCACCGTCGACTCGCTGCTCGCAATTGCAGGGACCAACCAGGTCGAGGTAAGATTGTTCCTCATGATCCTTGAGCCAAACGCAGCAAAAAAAAAAAAACGAAAAGAAAGAAATCGACAATGATCTACGTAAGGTTGTTAGCAGTCTGTTTGTTGCAGTTTGATTAATGACGATTGCACGCTTGTCACTCGCTCCCCGCCGTTTCTGCTCTCTTCTTTCCCCCAACCCCCTCTCTCCCGCACCTCTTCCCTCTCGTCCCCTCCCCTGCCCTTCCTCCCGTCTCAGGTGCTAGTTTTGGATGTCGATTACTCACCCTCTCTCCACTGCTAGCCTGCCTTCTGCTCTCTTCTTATCCCTGCTCTCCCCTTCTCCTCTCCTTTCCTTCCCCTATTCCACCTCCTTCCCCCGCTTCAGGTGTGCTAGTCCTGGATTATGATTGCACACTCGTCACTTGCTCCCTTGTGAAGCTGCATGCCGCTACCGCCTCATGCCCCCCTCGTCTCCGTCCCTCTTCCTTCTCCTCCCCTTCCCCTCTCCACATCTTTCCTCTTTCCTTCAGGTGCTAGTGCTGGATGATGACTGCACGCTCGTCACTCGCTCAGCTGTGAACCTCCCTGCTGCTCTCCCCTCATGTTCTTACTTGCCCCTCCCCCCTCATTTCCTCCCCTTATTCGACTTCCTTGTTCTCACCTTCAGGTGCTAGTGCTGGACGATGACTGCACGCTCGTCACTCGTTCCGCTGTGAACCTGCGTGCTGCCCTTCCCTCATGTTCTTACTTGCCCCTTTCCCCCTCATCCCCCCCCCCACATTCGACGTCTTTCCTTCAGGTGCTAGTGCTGGACGATGACTGCACGCTCGTCACTCGCTCAGCTGTGAACCTGCGTGCCGCTCTCCGCACTGCAAGGAAACACCGCCGGCCACACAGGCAGCAGCAGGAACAGGCAGAGGAACAACCGGACGAGGATGGAGAGGCAGAGGCAGAGGCGGAAGAGGAGGAGGAGGAGGAGGAGGAGAAGGGTGATGGTGAAGCAGAAGGGGATGGGCCAGGCAAAGTAGTAATCCCAGAAGCGGATGTGGTTATAAAGAGGATGTGCTGGTTGCCCCTGGCAGGAGGCCCGTTTCTGGAGGTGCGTGCTCTCAACTCTCATTTCACCTTTGTGATTGTTTTTTTTCTTCTGCACTTTGCATCATCTCACACTTTCGGTTGAAGCTTCAACCCCGTTGAAGTGATGTTCTCTCCATCATCCCTCCCCATTTAAATCACTCCATCTATCTCCCGCAGGCACGTCTGCTCGTGGCGACCCCCTCAGCAGCGCTCTGGTTTTTGCATTAGCTGTGGGCTATGATGCCCAGCTGGTTGCCACTTTCCAGCTCCCATTATCACACCTACGCCCCCCCAATCATCCCTTCCCTTCCCTTCCCCCCTCAATCATCTGTCCGTCCTACAGGCACGCCTGCTGGTGGCGACCCCCTCAGTAGCGCTCCTGTTTGCAGTGGCTGTGGGCTATGATGCCCAACTGGTTGCCACCTTCCAGCTCCCAGCGAGCCGACTCCCAGGAAGGCCCGAGGGAGGAGTAGGAGCTTCACATGGGGGGGGAGAGAACGAGGGGCAGGAAGGGGAGGAGGAGGGGGAGGATGATCGGGAGAGAGGAGGGAAGGTGGGAGAGGAGGAGATAGTTGATGTGTGTGTGGTGCAGAGGGAGGAGGAGGATGAAGATGAAGAGAGAGAGGGGCACGAGGATGGGGATGAAGGGGATGAGGATGATCGGGATGGGGATGAGGAGGGCCCCCGGATGCAACTGACAGTTCTCACCAGCAAGGTGAGGAGGACTGTGCCTTTGTCTAATAGGCTTGCTTTTCATTCTAGTGTGCTACGCTGTCTGCATTTTTATTTCTTCTTCAGATTCTGTTTCTCCTGTTTTATACGTGTGGCTTTCTTTCTCAACGTTTTCTTAATTCGTGTTATAATTTAGAGTTCACTCCTTTTTCTCTCATCATTTTTGTCTTGTGGACAGGCTGCACTGTACTATGCAACTATAGATGATGGCGAATCAGCTAATGATGAGGATGAAGATGACAACCAAGAGGACGACGATGAGGACGAGGATGAATACGATGACGCGGAGAATGGGTTCGATCTGTTCCTGTTCATGCCATGTCAGCACGTCACTTTGCGACACCTGTCACTCCGGCCATCAGGCTCGGGCCTACCCTGGCACCATCAGGCTGGGGCTGGTCTTTCTTCTCTTGCTGCTTCAGAAGAGACTGGGAAGAGAGAAGGAGATGGAGGAGGAGAAACAGGAGAAGGAGGAGGAGGAGGAAGCAGTGTAGCTTTGTCTGAGGGCGGAGGGGTTGTGGGAAGGAGGGGAGGAGGGTTCCTGTGCCCGGTGGCAACGCATGAGGGGTTTCTCGTCTCTCCTGACGGCCGCCACCTCTTCTTTGCTCGCCTCACGCTCTCCGGACAGGTGAGCTTCTAGCAGGGGGTCTCAGTAAAAGGAGGGAGGGGGGACGTGGGAAGGAGGGGGGGAGGGTTCCTGTGTCCGGTGGCAACGCATGAGGGGTTTCTCGTCTCTCCTGATGGCTGCCGCCTCTTCTTTGCTCGCCTCATGCTCTCTGGCCAGGTGAGCTTCAGCAAAGCGCGCGTTGGCAACAGTTTCAGTTATAGCAGGAAGGCTCAGTGAGGGAGGCCCTCTTCCGTAACGCTCGCTTGGTGATAGAGCAAGGGGAGGAGGAGATTTCGCCTGCTGTCTTCTTCCTTGTTACCCAATATCCCCAATTTTATCCATCTCCCTGGCTGCTTCCCCATGGCAGGCAATTTCGCTGCTGTGGGAGATTTCAATCATCAAACAGGACCACCCGCACCAACTGAAGGGCAGGTTCAGGTTCGGGAGCCAGCTTCGGAAGTTTTCCGAGCCTGGGAAGCAGGCATCATGCAGTGGGAGGTTGCGTCTGGGAGAAACAGGGAGAGAAGCAGAGGCAGCCGCAGGGGCAGGGGTAGGGACAGCTTCAGCTTCAGAAGCAGCAGCGGCGGCAGTGGCAACAGCGGCACCAGCAGCAGCAGCAGCAGCTACTGTGGAAGCGCTGTGGTGATGGGTGAGGGAAGCAGCTGCAGGGTGTTGCTGGCGTCTGGGCCCTTGGAGCATCTCACCAGGGGCTTCCCATGCTTCTCCCATGCGCTGGTTCGTAACGCTGCTGCTGGTAACCCTGTAGGTGGTAACCAGGTTGGTGGTGGTAACCACCCAGGCCGTATTGTGGGCGTGGCAGCATGTCGAGCTAGTAAGGAGAGGGATGGTAGTGAGACAGAAGAGGAGGAGGAGGGCTACGAGGAGGAAGAGGAGGAAGTGGAAGAGGAGGATATGGATGAGGAGGCAGGAGGGGAGGAGGCTGAGGAGGAGCAGAGGCAGGGTGAAGGCGAGAGTGGGAGGGCCCAGGCTCAGGAGATTAGTCAGGTGGATGGGGATAACCGCGTGGTGCTGCTGTTTCAGGATGGGTCTCTAGTGGTGCTCGGCACTCATCCTCCCTCCGCTTCTGCCTCATCCGCACATTCTGCTGCCCTCCAAACCTCCTCCTCCTCTACCCAAGCAGTCGAATCTTCTGCCGCTCATCCGTCTACCTCTCATCATGCCTCAGTTGCCACGGAAGGAACAGGAGCTGCTGCTGCTGCCGTTTCTGCATCTGTGCTAGTTCCGTCAGTGCCTGCATCTCACGCTGCTGCTGCTGGCGATCCTTCTCCTAGCGTCCCCAGCGGTTCTCACCCTGATGCTCCACCTGCTCCAACTGCTGCTGGTGGTACTGCCGCCACTGATGCTACAGCTGCGGCTACTGGTCAACCAGGTGCCTCCGCCGCACTGGCGTCTACTGCTACGGCCGCATCAACTGCTGCTGCCACAGCCGTCCCCACCAGTGCTCCCCCTACCCGTCGCCCGCCCCTCCCCCCACCCCCTCCTGCACCCCCCCGCAAGCCCCTTTCCCCGGAGGAGGAGCTACAGATTGCTGTGAACACTCTGCTCTGTATTGTGGATAAAGGAGGGGCAGGCAGCAAAACAGATGCCCCAGTAGCAGCAGCAGCAGCAGCAGCAGCAGCAGCAGCAGCAGCAGCAGCAGCAGCTTCAGGGGGAGAAGCAGGAACGGGTTCATCTGGGGCAGGTACATCTGCAGGGCAGCTTTCCAAGCCGTTCCCAGCAGTGCCCTTGGATCTGATTGGCCGCCGGAAGCCCCCGGGCTGGACTCCCAGTTTCCCCCATGATTTCTTTGAGCATACGGTGTGTGTAACCCCGGAAGTGCGGTTTGCAGTGCACGGCGTGCGAGGAAGCAGGAGTGGCGGAGGTGGGGGGAGTGGTGGGAGCAGCGGCAGCAGGAGCGGGAGTGGGAGTGGGAGTGGGAGTGGGAGTGGTAGTGCTGGTGGTGGTGGGAGGAGTGCTGGTGGTGCTTCAGGGTCTGCTGCTGACGTGGCAGGGATGAGTGACATGGACAGTGAAACCGTGCTGCATAATCTCATGGCTGAGGACGGTTTCCTGGAAGCTTCCTCCTCAAAGGGTTTCAAGGTGCGTACTTTCTCAGTGCTTTCGTTCGTCCCCAGCCTTTGTGAAAGTCTCCCTCTTCTTCTTCCGCTGCTCGTTCCTCTTTCCCCAAGTGACTGCAATCAAGTCACACTCGTGCTGCCTCCTCTCCCTTTCGTTTCTGCTGCTTGTCCGTTGCCAGATCACCGTAACCAATACCAACTCCAGCCTTCTGCTTGTGGGAATCTGACTCCTCGTGGGGATCTCTCCCCCCTCGCACACCCCCTCCTCCCTCTCCCTCTTCCTTTGCTCTCCTTCCTCAAGTGACTGATCGTGTTGCCTTCCCTCCTTTTTCTTCCCTATCTCCGCTTTCCCGTTTATGTTCCTAGATCACTGTAACCAACACCAACTCCAGTCTCCTACTCGTGGGAATCCGCGTCCTGGTGGGAATCTCTCCCTCCTCGCACACCCCCTCCTCCCTCTCCCTCTTCCACCGCTCCCTCCCCCTCGACCGCTCCTCCCGCCGCTGGTACGACCTCCCCTTCACTCCCGCCGAATCTCTGCTGGCAGACCGCCACGTCAGCATCCACGTGGGCCCCGCTTTTGGGGGTAATGCGCGCGCCAGGGTGGATGGGTTGGAGGTGTATGGGCGGCGGAAGGAGGAGTTTGGGTGGGGAAAGGTGAAGGGGATGGTGCTGGGGTGGTGGAGGGAGTGGAAAAGGGTTGTGGAAGAGGAGGGGAGGAGGGCGAGGGAGAGGGAGAGGGAGGTGGAGGGAAGGGAGAGGGAAGGGAAGGAAGGGGAGAGGAGGGAGGGGGAGGGGGTGGAGAGGGGGAGGGGGAACGGGGAGGAGAGGGGAGATGGAGGGGAGGGTTTGAGTGTGGAGGAGGAGAGAGAGGAGCGAGTGGTTGGGGATGCTTTGGCGGTGCTGACTGGGCTTGTGGGTGGTGTTGCAGGGGAGGGCTGGCAGCAGGGAGAGCAGCACGCAGAGAAGGAGGCAAAGGAGGAGGCAGAGGAAGGACAGAAGGCAGGCTTAGAGAAGAAGGAGCAGGTGTTAGGGCAGGAAGGGAAGGCCAATCTGGGGAAGGTGCAGCTGTTGGGGGAGGATCTGCTGAAGGAACTGCTCCAGGAGGTGTTGAGAGGAGGCCCGGAGGAGGAGGAGAAGGAGGAAGAGGGGCTGGGCAGTCCCGTGAGAGGTGGTGGTGGTGGTGGTGGTGGTGGTGGTGGTGCGGAAGAAGGGGCCATGGCAGAGGTGCTACTGGGCTTGTGCCGATCGCTGCATCCATCGCAGTCGGATTTTGTCCAGGTATTTCGGCGAACTCTGTTTGGCCCAGAGGTTGGTGAATAGTTAAAAACATAGGAGTCGTTTTTTTATTCCTGCTGTGCCCAAAGTTGACGGGGCGGTTCTTTGCTCCTGGCATTATCAGGAGTCGGTTCCTTCTCTGGCCCGTGCCTGCCAGCACCTCTCTTATCCCCTCCTTTTAACGCTTCCCTCACTCCTTTTCTCACACACACACAAGCATGAACACACAGCCTTCGTTTCCCAACCTCCTTTCCCCCGCTCTTGGCCCTCCCCAAATCCTGTGTTTCAAGCTCGTGACCCTTCCATTTTGAGCTCCTTACTACCCTCCTCTCCCATCCCCGCCCCTCCCCCTTCCCCTTCTGTGTTTCAGGCATGCGACTCAACAGAGCTATCTCTAGCCGTAGAAACACAGCCAGACCAGCAGGCATGTGCGCTCCAGAGGCACATAGACGCTTTGGCGCACATCGCACTGCTGCGACCCTCCAGCATGCGCCACTTTCTCTCCAAGCTCCTTACTACCCCCTCTCTCCCATCCCCGCCCCTCCCCTTCCCCCTGTGTTTCAGGCATGCGACTCAACAGAGCTCTCTCTAGCCTTGGAGACACAGCCCAACCAACGGGCACATGCTCTCCAGAGGCAAATGAATGCCATGGCGCACATCGCACTGCTGCGGCCCTCCAGCATACGCCACTTCCTCTCTGCCACAGGCGTCCCTCCCCTAGAAGCGCTTCACAGCCGGCTGCTCTTAGCCCTGCAGGCTCCAGAAGAGAATACTGCAGACGCGACAGCAGGGAGTGCAGAAGTCAGGGGTGCAGACAGCAAGGGGATGGGTGGGGAAGATCCAGATGGCACGGGGGTGGGGGAAACGGATGGTGGTGGCACGGGGGTGGGTGGAAAGGATGCTGCAGAGGGTAAGGGGATCGGGGGAAGGGATGATGATGGTAAGGAGGGGGATGGTCGGGTTTCTGCTGGGGTGAAGCAAGCTCTGGTGGGCTCGTTTGTCCGACTGCTGGTTGCTGTAGCAGGCAGTCTGCTAGTCCCACCTGAACCCACTGCAGCTGCTGCTCTTGGTGCTCTTCCTACTGCTGTTCCTTCCACTGCTGCTGCTTCTCCTGCTGCTGCGCCTGTTGCTGAATCGGGAGTGACGATGGAATGGGTGGTGACCAGGCTGCGTGACCTTCTTCTTTCTTCCGATGCTGCTGTTGCGGAGTCGTGCTGGTATGTCCTAGTCCTGCAAACCATGCTTGCCATGTCAGCTATTCAATTCTCACATCATTACGATTCTCCCATCTACAATGCGTGCCAGTCACCACCCTTGCACCATCCTCCATTTCGCTTATGCAGTTGGATTCTCGTTCTGCGCCAAGTACCCTCCCATCCCATTTAGGACCTCCCTGATCGCCTCTCACTCACTGTTGTGTGCTTCTTTTGAGGATCAGGCGCCTCTGACCCACCCACCGTTTATGTCTATGTGCATCAAAAGCATGTGCTGTGCTGTGCTGTCATCGTACGCCACTCACTGTCATCCCACTCTGTGTTGACTTTTGAGGCGCCTCAAAGGTCTCCTCTCTGACCCACCGTTTATGTCTATGTGCATCAAAAGCATGTGCTGTGCTGTGCTGTGCTGTCATCATACGCCACTCACTATCATCCCACCCTGTGTTGCGCTCCCCCCCACTCCCATGTCCACTCCGCAGGATGGCTCTCTGTTCTCTCTTCCTGCCGCCGCCTCCTCTCCCATCACTGCTGCCACCCCTGGCCTCGGCCCAGGCGTCTAAGCAGCATGAAACAGCATTGCCATTCTGTGTTCTGTTGCCCTCCCCACTCCCATGTCCACTCCACAGGATGGCGCTTTGTGCTCTCTTCCTGCCGCCGCCTCCTCTCCCATCTCCACTGCCTTTGGCCTCCAAGCAACTTGAAACACCGGCAAACAATGCAGTTGACAGTAGCAGCAAGGACAGCGGGCAGGCAGCAGCAGCAGAATGTTCCACAGCAGGGGGAACTGCTTTTCAAGCCTTTGGGGGCACCGGTGTTTCTGGTGCTGACGCTGGGTTTGGTGCGGATGGTGCTGATGGTGGGGCTGGCACAGGTGGCGCTGCTCTTGCTGCCACAGCTGGTGGTGCTGGTTTTGGTTCCTATGTGGAGAGTGGAGTGGTGGAAGGGGAGGGCTCAGCAGAAGACATGGACATAGACCAAACAGACATGAACCACGGATTTGGTCACGAGTTTGATCAGAACATAGACCCGCAGTTGTCGGTGGTGCAGTTCTGCTGTGATTCCTGCGGCGTGTGCCCCATTCAAGACGTGCGGTGGCACTGCCTCGTGTGTGACGACTTTGACCTCTGTAACGAGTGCCATCAGGCCGTGTCCGCTGCTGCTTCTGCTGGCTCCTCCGCTGCTGCTGCTGATGGTGCGGGGTCTGCTGCTTCTCTCTTCCCCTTCAGCTCTCACAGCATCTCACACCCAATGGTCTCCATTCCCATTGATCCTGCAGCAGATGGCATGGGGGAGGACGGAGGGGTGGAGGGGCTTATGGGCAGGCTTGGGTACGGGTTTGGCGGGGAGTCTGGTGAGGAGGATGGTAGTGTTGGTGCTGAGTTTGGTACAGGGTTGGACGCTTCTGGGTTTATCGGGGATGCAGTTTCTGCTGATGCTGCTGGTGGTGGTGCTGCTAGTGCGAGTGCGCTCGACGGTGCTGCTGGTGGCTCTGGAGTGGAATCGGGGGTAGAGGCGGATAGAGAGGAGGGGGAACAGCAGGAGCAGGGGCAGCAGGGGATTGATGGCACTGATGGGACTGATGGGACCGACAAGGGGGAGTGCGCAGGGAATACGGTGAAGGATGGAGAGGAGGAGGAGGAGAAGGCGAGTTGGGAGGGAGTGAGGATGCGTATAAACCAGGTGGGACAGGAGGTGCTGCAGCAGCTGCTCTCCTCCTTCTCTCCTGGTTGGTCCCTCCCTCCCCAACCCACTCCCACTCCCCCCTCCTCTGATACTTCCTGCCCTCGCTCCCCTCCCATGCCACTGCTTCAGCTGCTCCTGCGGGTATCTGCAGCAGGGGCAGCAGGGGTGGGACCTATGGCAGTTGCTGTGCCAAGTATAGGTTCTTTTGAGAGGAGGAAGAATGAGAAGAAAGGAGGGGCTTGGAAGACGGAGGAGAAGGGAATCGGAAACCTGGACTCGCCTGGAGCCCAGCTGCTGACGTGGACGCTGACGTGGCTGGTTGATGAGCTGGAGCACAGCTGGCGCCAGGTGTCTGGAGCGAGAGAAGGGCGTGTGGATGTCAGCGCTGGTGGTGCGAGTTCTGCCGACGTAGCAGCTTTGACCTGCTCTTTGGAGTTCCTTGTGCTGCTGTTTCGTACCTTGCAGTACCATTTACAACCGCAGCAGCAGCAGCAGCAGCAGCAGCAGCAGCAGCAGCAGCAGCAGCAGCAGCAGCAGCAGCAGCAGCAGCAGCAGCAGCAGCAGCAGCAGCAGCAGCAATGGCAGGCTCAGCAGCAGCAGCAGCAGTCCAAGTTAGGGTTACACCTCCTCCTCCATTGCTCCTCATGCCCTGCTGCCACCAGGCTCCTCACGCTCCTCCACTCCATTGTTTCCTCCTGCCACCCACACGCCCCACTCACCCACACACCCAGCTATACTGAGATCAACACCAGTACCACTGAGGCTAAGGTGTTGGTGGGAGGCTTGGGGAAGGACGGTATTGAAAGTGGAGTGGGAGGGAAGGGAAGCGAGGAATTGCTGCTGTGGGCGCTGTGCCTTGCTGCTGAAGTGGCACCCTTATGCCTCACAGAGAAAGGAGTGCTCGCTGAGAAGGGGGTGGTGAGATTTGAGTCGACTTGGCAGCCTCTGCTTTGTGCTTACTTGCAGAGAGTTGCTCTACAGCGAGTATTGGCTCAGCCCAAGGAGCAGGAGCGGACCAAAGAGGGGGCTGTTATAGCCCAGGTAGATCTGGAACGGTTTGGAGCGGTTGAATGCAGTGAGAGTGGTGATGTTGGGAAGCCGGGGGAGGAAGGAGGGGCGAGAATGGGGGGGAGAGAAGGGAAGTATGTGCGGCAGTTGTTGCTGCTGACTTGTGGGCGGGATGAGAGAGAGTGTGTGAGGATGCAGCGAGTGTGTAAGCTTGCTGCATACATGCATGGTCTTCGCTCCTCTCTCCACCCTTTCTTCCCTCTTCTTCCCTCCTCTCCCCACCTCCCATCCCCTTCCTCTACCCACCTCCCATCCCCCATCCCTCCTCCACTCCCCTACTCCATCAAAGTCCAATCCCTCCTGCTCCTCAATGCAATCCTCCACGTGGCGCAATCTCAGCCGTCCACGTGGCGCTGGTACTGCGCAGGCAAGGACACGTCAGCGCTCCAGCTGCTGGCGGCTGTAGCGACCGCTACATCCTCCCCCCGCTGGGCGGCAGAGGACGAGCCTCTTGCTGTGTGCGCGCTACAGCTGGTGGCTCTGGCGTTTGACTGTGATAGCAGCGGTAAAAGCGGCTGCAGCAGTAACAAGAAAAGAAAGGGGTTTGGTGCGGTTGATATGGGTGTGCAAGCAGCTGCTCTGTTTGGGGTCTCATTGGATTCCCAGCAGCAGACACAGGAGCAACAGAGTCATGGGCAGGGGCAGGAGGCAAGGAGGGAAGGCAGCAGCAGGGATGGTGCGGCTACTGGCATTGTTCAGTTCATCGCATCCTTGGTGCTCTCTGCTGCCTCTGCCAGGCTGCGATCCCAGGGATGCATGGTCATGCAGGTATGTGTGCCTGCTCTGTGCCTGCGCATGCGCTGTGTAAGTGTTGTGTTTGTGCTGCTGAGCATGTGCTGAGTATGCGAGTATGCCACTAAGAGCTTGTGAATATCTCCCATCCCTCTTTAGATTCTCTCCCTTAACTTACTTCTCCACCTCTCCCTTCCTCCACCAACCTGCCTTCGTTCGTTCTCCTTTTTTTCCCAAACTGCAGGGAGTGTGGAAGCACGCTTCCCCATCTCTCCGCCACTCCATCCTCTCCTCCCTCCTCGCCATCCTCCCCCACACCCCTTCTCTCGGCTCCCGCGCCCTCAGCTTCTCCCGCCTCCTCCTCTCGCTCCTCGCTGACCTGGCGTCCAGTCAGCAGCCAGCTGGCACCGCTGACGTGGCAACACGAGCCGCAGCCGTGCTGCTGACGCAGCTGGCGCAACAGAGTCAAGCGGTGGCCAACCATCCGAGCTCATCACTCAACTATGCCTTGCATAGACTCCTGGGGCCGGAGAGTGAGGGAACAAGCGCTGCTGCTGGTGGTGGTACTGGTGGTGGGGGCAGTGGTGGGGGTAGTGGTGCTGGCAGTGGCGGTAGGTCAGGTGCAGCAGGAACAGGAGCAGCAGGAGGAGCAGGAGCAGGAGGAGGGGGAAGAGGAGGAGGAGGAGGCAGGGGGTCGGTGTGGGGGAAGGCAGATGGGGAGCCGTGTGCGGTGTGTGCGTATCCCGAGGCGGTGTGGGGGAGTGTGAGGATGGAGAGTGTGCGGCAGGAGGTGCGCTTCTCCGACTGCCGCATCTTCCTGCGCCTCACAGAGCCGCACCTCATCAAGGTGAGCCGAGCAGAGAGCTGAGCGGTGAGCACCAGGGCTCATAAGGCGAAACTGGTTCTTGACGTGCGTCACAAGGCTGTGAGGATGGAGAGTGTGCGGCAGGAGGTGCGCTTCTCCGACTGCCGCATCTTCCTGCGCCTCACAGAGCCGCATCTCATCAAGGTGAGTGCAGCACCCGGCACCTTGGCTCAAAGGAACAAAAGGTTCTGGACAGGTGGCCCTAGAGGCGGCGGCATGGGGGAGTGTGCGGCAGGAGGTGCGCTTCTCAGATTGCCGCATCTTCCTGCGCCTCACAGAGCCTCACACCCACCATCAATTCCTTCAGGGATTCACCATGATGGTTCATGACTCAAGAAGAAGCCGTTCTGTGAAGGACCTGCGGCTACTGGGGAGCAACAGCGCTGCCTGCGACCTGCAAGCAACACCCCACCCTTTCCCTCTCTCCCCCCCACCGCTCATCATGTGTTCTCCTCAGGGTTTCACCATGACAGTTCACGACTCGAGAAGGGGTCGCTCCGTGAAGGACCTGCGGCTGCTGGGGAGCAACAGTGCTGCCTGCGACCTGCAGCAGATCAAGACCGCTACAGACGAGCTCTGCCGCCCAATCGCTCGCTGCCAGCTGGCGGCCGACCAGCCTGAGATCCGCGTGGAGCTCCCCCTCCCTGTGGCGCTGCGCTTCATCGTTGTGGAGTTTGCTTCCTTCCACGAGGTGAGTGAGGGACTGGATGGATGTTGATTGGTCGCTGGTTTGCTCTGTGAGTGATGGATTGTTAGTGTGGAGCTGCCCCTGCCTGTGGCTCTGCGCTTCATTGTCGTGGAATTCGCATCCTTCCACGAGGTTTGTTTGGGGATGGTGTTGTTGGTGTGCTCTGTGACTCATAGATCGTGTCAATGCAGAGGAACTGCCTCTGCCTGTGGCTCTGCATTTTTTTTTTGTTTTTTTGTTTTTGTTTTTTTTAAGTTGTGTTAATCGTCTTCTTCTCATGAGGCAAGTCTATTAAGTCTATTGTCCTGACCGCCTCTCTGTCGTCATGAGTTTTCCCAACAATGACCTCCCTGTTCTCTCATGGTTCACTGCACACCACACAATCATCTCCGCCCATTTTTCTCCTTGTCGTCAACCCTCCCGGATCCACCAGAACCACCCGTCGTCCTCGTCTCGCGAGTCGTTGCAGTGTCCGCGGTGTAACCGAGTGGTGACCAGCCGGCACGGCATGTGCGTGGTGTGCCATGAGAACGCCTTCCAGTGCCGCCAGTGCCGCTCCATCAACTACGACAACCTCCACGCCTTCCTCTGCCCGCAATGCGGCCACTGCAGGTGCGTGCCACTGCAGCAGGTGCGTGCGTGCGTGCGCGCTTGTGTGGTGTGGTGTGCACATACATGTCTGTGTATGGTGCTCCATCAACTACGACAACCTCCACGCCTTCCTCTGCCCGCAATGCGGCCACTGCAGGTGAATTTTTTGTCGCTATCAAGAATTTTGCATCCAAAGTTATTCAGTAACAAAGAAAAAATAGGGTGCAAAAAGAAAGAAAGAAAGAAAGAACGAAAGAAGAAGCATTAAAACTGTGTGTGCGTGTGTGTATCCGCATGGTAACCAGGCGTAAGAATCACTAGTTGCCCTAACGCCTTTTTCCCAGATTTCCCTTTAATAAATCACCTTGAAACAACCCCACCCCAAAACTCCCCCCCCCCCAGCTTCACCCCTCTCCCGTTCGCCCCCCACATCCCTTCTCCCACATTCTCTCGAATCCCCTCAGGGTCTTGAGTCGACTCAAAAGCCTTTTCCTACCTTTACCCCCCTACCCCCCTTCTCACCCCTTTAAAGGTACGGTCGGTTCGATTTCGCACTGCAAGCTCACCCCTGCCCCTCCTCCATCATTCGTCTTACTATTTCACCTCAAACCTCTCTGTTCCCTTCCCTCTCCCCTCTCACCCCTTTAAAGGTACGGTCGGTTCGATTTCGCACTGCAAGCTCACCCCTGCCCCTCCTCCATCATTCGTCTTACTATTTCACCTCAAACCTCTCTGTTCCCTTCCCTCTCCCCTCTCACCCCTTTAAAGGTACGGTCGGTTCGATTTCGCACTGCAAGCTCACCCCTGCCCCTCCTCCATCATTCGTCTTACTATTTCACCTCAAACCTCTCTGTTCCCTTCCCTCTCCCCTCTCACCCCTTTAAAGGTACGGTCGGTTCGATTTCGCACTGCAAGCTCACCCCTGCCCCTCCTCCATCATTCGTCTTACTATTTCACCTCAAACCTCTCTGTTCCCTTCCCTCTCCCCTCTCACCCCTTTAAAGGTACGGTCGGTTCGATTTCGCACTGCAAGCTCACCCTTGCCCTTCCTCCATCGACCCGATTATCTCCGAGGAAGCTTCCAAGAAGGTTGCAGCAGCACTGGAGGCCGAGGCTGAGTCAGCAACCCGGCTCCGTCAGCAGCTGCAGGCGCTGCGCCGGCCAATCGTGCGCCTCGTTTCGTCCATTATGGATGATGACGCAGCTGCTGACGTGTCAGCAGCTGACTTGCTGAATCCCGGCCCGATCTCAGCAGGAACAGCAGCAGGAGGGGCAGGAGGTGGAGCAGGAAGAGCAGGAAGAGCAGGAGGAGCAGGAGTTGGAGCAGGAGGGCTTAGCAGAGAGAGGGCAGTAGGAGGGCGATCAGGGCTGGAAGGAGGAGGGGGTCTGTCGTCCCTGCTGCAATTAGCAGCAGCAGCAGGCGGAGCAGGAGGCAGTGGTGCAGCAAGAGGGGCAGGGGGAGGAGGAGGGGGAGGAGCAGGAGGACGGGGAGGAGGCTCGGGAGGTCTTGGGTCCGCATCATCCTTACTATCAGCCTTGCTAGGAGGCAGGCTAGGGGCAGGACGAGGAGCAAGAGGCGGCGGGTCCGGGGCAGGAGGAGGAGGAGCGGCAGGAAGTGGGCTTCTGGATTTCGACCTGTTTGATGATCTGCTGGCTGCTGCTGCTGCTGGCCCTGGTGCTGATTCCGGTTCTGGTGGTCTGTTCAGTTCTGGTCTAGCCAGGGACACATCAGGGGGTTTAGGAGCATCAGGCATACCGGCAGCGTCGGGATCGTCAGGGAGAGCAGCGGGCGGAGGAACAGGCACAGCAGCAGCAGCAGCGTCGGCTGCAGCGGCGGCGGCAGCAGGAGAGGAAATGCTGCTGCAGCTGCTAGAAGCCTTCCCGCCCCTCTCTGCCGCTGGATCAGGTACTGGTAATTCGTCCAGCACTGGTACTGCTGGTGGTGGCGGCGGCGGCGGTAGTACTGGTGGTGCGGGTGCCGGTGCTGCTGGTGCGGGTGGTGACGCTTCCCTGTTCTCCACCACCGGTGGCCTCCCTCTTTCCTCCGCATCTATCTCAGCAGCAACAGCAGCAGCTGTTAGGGTTGGTTCGCCCAACCACGGAACCTACGGCGAAATGCGGAATGACGGCGAAATGGAGCGCGTGGGAGATTTTAGATCTAAGACGGTGGAAATCGGCCTACGGTGAAGAATGGAAGCTACGGCGTGAGAAGCGGGAGAGAAATCAGGAAGAAACTAGAGAAATGGAGAGAGAAGAGTGGAGAAGCATCGAGAATGAGATTGACGGGGAGAAATTGTGGTTCGAGCTGGAGGCGTGTTCGAGAAGGTGCTGGAATCGGACTCGAGGAGTGTTCGGTGCATTCGGTTCGGTTGCGTGTGCGACTCGGGGTGAAACGAGGCGCACGCGGTTACTTGGGAAACAAGTGAAGTTACGAATCGCATTTTGTGTCTTGCCTGACTATAAACCTGTTTGTACTCATTCTTGAAATACAACATTGGACAACATTGATCAGTTGGTGATTCTGAAAATTGCTGAAGTGTGTATTGACAACTTCAAGCAGAGCTGCGCATATCGTTGGATTCGGGAGATCGTGGAGAACACGATAAGCAATAGCAAGTAGACTATTGCCGACTAAGGTGTTTACGATCCTAAGAACCGGTATCAGAGCTTGGCGAACGGTCGCGTCGGTCGTCGTAAATTCACTTGGTGCGCTAAGTGAAATTAGTGGAGAAGAGGAGTCGTTCACGCCTACGCCATGGGAGACGAGGCGAGTTCGGGTTCCAGTGTGAGTCTTGGAGACCCGCAGTTGAAGGCTCTTCTCGAGGCCCTTGCGAGTGGCCGACTGGTGGCGAAACCGACGATCGGGCTCAGTGAAGCCCAGCGCTTCAACGGGAGCAACTACAACGTGTGGCGGAAGAAGTTTATTCAGAGGAGGTGGACCTCTTGCCGTACTACCGTCCCGACGAGGAGACGATGGAGGGAGTTGCGCCATCCCCGACGGATACGAAGGAGAAAATAGCGGCGTTCAAAAAACAAAGTAAGCAAGCGTTCTTTCAGCTTTGTCACTCAGTTGCCGACGGAATCGCGGTGGATTTGGACCAGTTTGCAGGGGAGCTGAACTCTGCACAGCGAGCGTGGGAGTACTTGGAGTCCACGTACATGGGCACGAACGATGTCAACAAGAAGGCGATACGGAAGCAACTCCTGATGCTGAGCATGGAGAAAGGCGAGAAAATCATCACCTACATCAACAGGGCGAAAAGCTACAACGACGATTTGCGGGTGATGGGAGCCGCGGAGACGGAGCACGAGATGATTGACTATATCATCCAAGGCCTTCCCAAAGAATGGGAATCCGACATTGGAATGTTTACGTACCAACCGCCGGAGAGTTTGACGAAGCTGCAGGAGATCCTGCAATCGCTTGAGACGGTGAAGGAGATGAGGAAAAAGAAAGCGGCAGTAGCAGCTACGGAATTCGACGAGGAAAGGCCGGCTTTGGTGAATGCGACAAAGGCGTTTGGAGCGTGCTACCAGTATGGAAAGAGGGGGCATAAGGCGATAAACTGCTACGAAAATCCGCGAAGCAGGAACTTTAAAGGCAAAGCGGTGGAGAACAAAAATGGAGAAAACAGGGGAGCGGAGTGGCAGCAGAAACGAGGTTTTGGCGGCAAGTGCGACTATTGTGGGCGCTACGGGCATCGTGCCGCAGAGTGCTACTCCAATCCAAACAGCAGGAGCTACAAGGGTCCGTCGCAGCAGAGGAATGTGGCGGCTAAGGCGAATGTAGCGGAAGCGAACGAGGATGATGTGATCCTTAGAGGAGCGCATCTTGCGAACGTGGTGCGTTTACCAAAGGAGGTTCGTCAGACGGACGGACGTGAGAAGACGGCATGGTTCATGGACAGCGGATGCACGCGTCACATGACATTCAGGTCAGATTGGATGGAGAATGTGAGGGAGTCGAGTGAGGATTATATACTGCAAGGTAACAGTGGGAAGTTGCCAGTGACAGGAGAGGGTGACGTGGTGCTGCAGAGTCCGTATGGAGAGGTGAAACTGGAGAGTGTACTGTTGGTTGAGGATTTAAAGGTGAATCTGGTCAGTCAGTCACAGCTTGATGACTTGGGGTGCAAGATATTTTATGACAGTGGCAAGGTTACAGTGTTTGGTCCTGAATGGGAGAAGTACGCAGAGGGTTACTTCAGTGACGGGTTCTATGAGATGAACTTGATCGCGATGAACGGCATGGATGCGATCTGTGAGGACCCTGGGTATACTGAGATGGGAAAATTCAAGGAGTTATCGGTTGAGGATGATGAGAGTGAGGACACGGATGATACGGCAGCGAGTGTGGAGGCAGCAGTGAAGCAGAAAGAGGAGATAGTCGCCATGGAGGCAGCAGCAGTGAATGGTGGAGATGGAGATGGTGTCAACACCTTTGCAGCAGCGATCGTGGTTGAAGATGAAGCAGCAAATGCGAAGTGTGTGGGAGTTGAAGCTGTGAAAGGGGACATCATGGTGAAGGGATCAACGGCGAATGCAACTGCAAATGGGCGAGTGCTTACGAAAGAGGAACACGTTAAGGGGTGTGAGACCCGAGAGGTGTTGGGTGTTAAGATGCCGAGGAGAAGTGAGAGGCTTACGAAAATCTCTCATGGTTTGGACGTCATGGCGCTCAACTTCAAGACACGTAAGCAGAAGTTCAAGGTGCAGGAGCTGCAGGGGAGCATGAAGCCGACTTAGACCCTGTGAAGGCTACGAGGAGCAGGGGAGGAGTGCGAGTAGAGTTCGCGGTTGGCGAACCACAGGGGAGATTGTTAGGGTTGGTTCGCCCAACCACGGAACCTACGGCGAAATGCGGAATGACGGCGAAATGGAGCGCGTGGGAGATTTTAGATCTAAGACGGTGGAAATCGGCCTACGGTGAAGAATGGAAGCTACGGCGTGAGAAGCGGGAGAGAAATCAGGAAGAAACTAGAGAAATGGAGAGAGAAGAGTGGAGAAGCATCGAGAATGAGATTGACGGGGAGAAATTGTGGTTCGAGCTGGAGGCGTGTTCGAGAAGGTGCTGGAATCGGACTCGAGGAGTGTTCGGTGCATTCGGTTCGGTTGCGTGTGCGACTCGGGGTGAAACGAGGCGCACGCGGTTACTTGGGAAACAAGTGAAGTTACGAATCTCATTTTGTGTCTTGCCTGACTATAAACCTGTTTGTACTCATTCTTGAAATACAACATTGGACAACATTGATCAGTTGGTGATTCTGAAAATTGCTGAAGTGTGTATTGACAACTTCAAGCAGAGCTGCGCATATCGTTGGATTCGGGAGATCGTGGAGAACACGATAAGCAATAGCAAGTAGACTATTGCCGACTAAGGTGTTTACGATCCTAAGAGCAGCCGCTCAGGCGCACGTGAGCCGTCGGATCTCGATCCTGGGCACGCTGTACGCTGACAAGTGTCGCGCCGTGCACCGCGGGCTGGCCACGTCAGCAGAGAGGATGGGCGCGCTACAGATGGCCCTGGCTGAATACCACCTGCTGGTGGGGCAGCAGAGGAGAGCCCGCCGCAGGCAGAAGCACCTGCAGCTCCAGCTGCAGATGCATCAGCAACAGCAGGAGCAGCAGGAGAAGCAGTGGCGGCGGCAGCAGCAAGGCTTTGGTTATGAGGACTCGAGCAGGGGACTGGGTAGCAGCGGCAGTGGTGCCGGGGTGTGTTTGGACTGCAGCAGCACTTTTGTCGGGTTCTGCCTGCAGTGGCTCGAGGTGAGCAAGCAACAAGTGGAATCGGTTGAATCGGTTGAGGCAAGGCAGCTAGTTGTGTTGAGATGAGTCGATAGTTTACGCACGCACAGCTAGTTACACAAAAATCGAGGCGGTTTTAGCACGAGCTTCAATCTTGAGTTTCACGAGTATTTTGGTTGCAGAATTCAGCTGATGTGTTTGTGTCTGTTCATTTATTCCCATCTCATCTCTGATGTGTTCCCCCTGCCCCCTCCCTCCCCCCTCTCCCTCCTTTCCCCCCTTTCCTCCACCCCTCCTGCAGGCACTCCTCCCCATCCCAGCAGCCCCCTCCGCCCTCCTCTCTCTCTCCGCCATCCCCACCATCTTCTCCTCCTCACTCCTCTCCAGCCCTCCCTCCTCTCGCTCCCGCGCCCGCCACCTCTTGACCCGCCTCGCTCTCACCTCCCCCCTCGCCTCACACAATCTACTGGATCTAATCGAATCTAAGGTCTCTGCTGCAGTGGGCGGCTATCTGCTTGCTGACGTGGCGCCAGCTGTCAAGGACCCGCTGCTGCTCCTTGCTGACCTGTCTTCGTCCCCATCTGAGCCAGACCCGAGCCCATCGAAATCTGCCGTTTCGTCTCCTTCCAGGAAGCTTCTATGCTTGCAACTGGCTACTCGTCTGTTCTTCCAAGCCCTCGCCACCACCCATCTGCACCCCTCTGTATCGGACCATGTGCTGCTGCCCACCCTCCGTATAGCCACCTCCTCTTGCAAGCACGCTGCTTTGGAGGGGCCAGAGAGGCAGAATGGGGCAACAAATTCTCAGACTGGAGGAGAATCTTTACAGAATGGGGACGGGATATCAGAGAGTGCAAATACCAGTGCCAGTGGTACTTCAGAGGTTGACCCTTTGCCGCCCTCAGTTCGCAAGTTTGCCGCCTGGTGGCGCGACCGCACGCGTGAGCGCAGCGTCCTGGACTGCAGGCTTCGGCTGTTAGTGCGCTCTTTCGGCAGCTGGTGCTTCGGCAGCACTCGTCCCTACGCCCAATCAGGAAACCGCCACCTTCAAGGAAATCAAATATTTCTCACTGCAGATCTGATCGCCAGCTGTCGCTCGCCGCCCGGTCTCCGAACAGAGATCTGCGATCTGCTCGAGCTGCTGGCAGGGGTGGCCCCTCGATACAATCACGCTGTGCTAGAATCACTGCTTTCCCTCCTCCCTGCCACCACACACGCCGGCGAAGCCTCAGCAGAATACTTCTCGCTCCTCTCCCGCCTCCTCTCCTCTCCTCACCCTCCTGCCTCCAGCAGACCCTCGCAAAACAGAACCGCATCCTCTTCCAATACATCCCTCCTTTCCACTCAGTTCCGTCCCTATTCGTACTCATCAGCAGCCCAGGGAAGCCTCTCCCCCCTCCGACCCCCTCCAGGCACAGCCGCTCGTGCTCTCCCCTCCTCCTCCTCGTCTCGTCCTGCTTCCACCCGTTCCTCCTCAAACCAACCCTCAGTAGACCAGCCGTGCGTGCAGCACTCCTCTCTGCTCTTCCTAGCAGCCCGAGGCGTCCTCCCTGCCCTCACCTCCTTCATTTCTCACTCCGTTGCCCAGCTGCAAGCACACGAGTCCCGGGCTATGGCACCACTGCTTGCTCCCTCCTCCTCCTTCTCGCTCCCGCCTTTCGCCGCCTCATCTGCTGTCTCTGCTGCCCCTGCCGCTGCGTCTGCCTCGGCGGCGTATCCCATCCTGCAAGCCATTCGGCTGCTGCACCAGGCCGTGCAGCATCCCAAGCTGCTCAAGCTCTTCCTTCACTCAGCATACAGGCGCAGTGACAGGGGTGTTAACGCCAATACCAGCCAAGGCACCAGCAGCAGCAGCAGCAGCAGCAACACCAGCAGCAGAAGCAGCAGCGCTAGCAGGTGTTTGGTGCAGGCAGTGCGAGCATTGGTAGGGCTGCAAGGGCTGGTGGTGACGAGAACTCAACTGGTGGTGGAGTGCCAGCAGCTGCTCTCCCTCCTGCTGCAGGGACTCGTGACGGAAGCCGAAGGGGAGAGAGCGGAAGGGATGGGGCGTGAGGAGAGGTGTGAGACGAGTGAGGGGAGGAGGAGAGCGTTTGTGGCGGCGTGTGTGGAGGTGCTGGGGGAACTGGTGGTGGCGGAGGAGGGAGAGGCGGGGCACGATGCTGCGGCTTGTGATTCTTGGAGGGCAATAAGTGTGAGTATTGTTTGCTGCTTGCATTGCATGCGTTTGTGGTGGCGTGTGTGGAGGTGCTGGGGGAACTCGTGGTGGCGGAGGGGGAGGCGGGGCACGACGCTGCTGCGTGTGACTCTTGGAGGGCGATCAGTGTGAGTCGTTGCGTGCTGTTTCCTGGTTCCTGCTTGCTTCCTGCTTCCTTCCCCTGCTTTGTGTTTGTTGCTTTCTTTCGGCTGCTTCCTTGTTACACCTCCCCTCCCTTCCGCCTGCTCGCTTCCCACACCCTGCTACATTATTCCCCCTTCCCCTCCCCTCCAGTTTCTCCTCCGGCATCTGTGCAACACCATCTGCCCCACACGCCCTGAGCCCGAATACGAGATGCTGCTCATCATGGCAGCGACACTCACGATGCACCCCACCTGCTATCTTCCTCTTCTCCTTCTTCCCCGTCCCTCCCGTGCCTTCGTGTCCCTTCTCCAGTTCCTTCTCCGGCATCTCTGCAACACCATCTGCCCCACGCGCCCCGAGCCCGAATACGAGATGCTGCTCATCAAGACGGCCCTCCCTCTCAACCCACACCTCCCTCACCCCCACTTCCTCTCTTCCCACTCTCCCCCACCTTTCCCCACCCCTCATTCTCCCCCCCTTCCGCTCCCCTCCAGTTCCGCCTCCGGCATCTCTGCAACACCATCTTCCCCACACGCCCCGAGCCCGAATACGGGATGCCGCTCATCAAGGCATCACCGATCACAACGCATCCCACCCCCTCTTCCTCTCTTCCACCTTCCTCTTCCCCGTCCCTCCCGTGCCTTTATGTCCCCTTCTCCAGTTCCTTCTCCGGCATCTCTGCAACACCATCTGCCCCACGCGCCCCGAGCCCGAGTACGAGATGCTGCTCATCAAGGCAGCGACACAGGAGGAGTTCCTGCCAGGGAGATTGCAGCACAACCCCTACTCCTCCAAACAGGTGTGCTGACCGTCCGTCCATTCTCAGTCAAAGTCTGAGGCCTACTCCCTCTCTGCTAGTTCTTGCGTTCCGCCGTGACTTTTGAGTCGAGGTGACTTTTGAGTCAACTCAAAAGTCACTGCGCTGACCGTCCGTCCATTCTCGGTCCAAGTCTGAGGCCTACTCTACTCCCTCTCTGCTAGTTCTTGCGTTCCGCCTATTCCGCGTGCCCTGACTCCAAGGTTACGAGATGGTGGTGGTGCTGGTCAAGGCAGCAACACAGGAGGAGTTCATTCCAGGCGCCTGCAGCTGCAGCACAACCGGTAATCCTCCTACCTACCTAACCTCCGATCCGACCTTCGCAGCCCACCTGTCCTCTCTTGACATTGACAGCACCGGTAATCCTCCTACCAGGCTCGCCGTTCGTTCGTCTGCCTGAGTGTTGAGCTGCATGGTCCGATGGACAACGACTGTGACATGGAGCTGCTGCTGCTGACACTGACAAAGATTATGACCTTATCCCACCCTCCTCTCCCATGTGTGTGCATTCCAGGTTGGCTTTTCAATGAGGGATGTGAAGAATCTGATCTGCAAGAGTTGGAGCTGCATGGGCTCATGGACGACGACTATGGCATGGCGCTGCTGGTGGGGGGGCAGATCTGCTCCCTGGGGCTGTCCGTGCAACTGACGACTTGTTACCTGCGTGTATCTCCCCTTCTCTTCCACTCCAGGTTGGACCTCTCATGAGAGATGTGAAGAACCTCATATGCAAGGAGCTGGAGCTGCTGGAGCTGCATGGGCTGATGGACGGCGACTAGGGCATGGCGCTGCTGGTGCTGTCACTGGCACTGACAACGCTGATGGCCTTATTCCTTCCACACTCTAAACCCGCTTGTGTGCATTCCAGGTCGGCCCTCTAATGAGAGACGTCAAGAATCTCATTTGTAAGGAGTTGGAACTGCACGGGCTGATGGACGATGATTATGGCATGGAACTGCTGTTAGGGGGGCAGATCTGCTCCCTGGGGCTGTCCGTGCAACTGACGACTTGTTACCTGCGTGTATCTCCCCTTCTCTTCCACTCCAGGTTGGCCCTCTAATGTGGGATTTGAAAAACCTGATCTGTAAAGAGCTGGATCTGCACCTGATCTGTAAAGAGCTAGAGCTGCACCTGATCTATGGCATGGAGCTGCCGGTGCTGCTGCTGCTGCCAATGACGAATCATATGCTCCTCTCTCCTCTCTCCTCTCTCCTCTCTCCTCTCTCCTCTCTCCTCTCTCATCAATCCTCTCTCATATCTCCCTGCAACACACAGGTCGGCCCTCTGATGCGAGACGTCAAGAACCTCATATGCAAGGAGTTGGAACTGCACGGGCTCATGGACGATGACTATGGCATGGAGCTGCTGGTGGGAGGCCAGATTTGCTCCCTGGGGCTGTCCGTATGGGCAGTGTACGAGCAAGTGTGGAAGCAGAGGGGGGCAATGAGCGTTACCTTCAGGTTGCAGGTGAGCACGATGTTACGGTTGGGTGGTTACCAGGGTTTAGATGGGGAAAATCTGCTCCTTAGGGCTGTCTGTGTGGGTGGTATATGGGTAAGTGTGGAGACAGAGGACCTATGAGCGTGAATTTCGGGTTATAGGTGAGTGGGATATGTGACCCACAAGGGGTTAGGTACGTGATAAAATTTGCTTTTTGAGGTGTGGGATATGTGACCCACAAGGGGTTCGGTCCTAAGGCAGGGCAAATCTGCTCCCTGGGGCTGTCTGTACGAGCCGAACAAGTGTGGAGACAGAGAGGAGAGGACCCATGAGCGTCACTCTCCGGTTACAGGTGAGTGGAATGTAAATGAAGGAGGGGGAAGAGAGGGGGGCAAAGAGACCCTTCCGTTCACTCCGTGCCCCCCTCCCTTCATTATACCTTGCCCCCCTCTTTTGAATCCCTCTTTTAAACCCCCTTCGTTTCACTATACTATTGTCAATGTCAGGGCTTGGACGGAGAGGCAACAGAGCCGATAGTGAAGGAGCTGGAGGAGGGCGGCGAGGAGACACTCACACTGTCCCCTCCTTTCTTCACTTACCCTTGCCCCCCACTTTTCAACCCCGCCTCTGCTATCGCAATGTCAGGGCTTGGACGGAGAGGCGACAGAGCCGATAGTGAAGGAGCTGGAGGAGGGCGGAGAGGAAGCTACTGACCCCGAAAAGGAGTTCGCTGCTGCTGCTGCTCTCGTGCCTGTCAGCTCTGATGGGGAGAGAACGCGACGTTTGAAGGGTGAGCAGCAAGAGAGGGCTGTGGCCAATGGAGGAGCAGACGGAAAGGAGAGCGAGCCAATGGCCCCAGGGGATGACGTCACGGGTGAGGAGGGGAGTGAAATAGGCAGCCCAGACGGTTTGCTGCTGCTGCTGTGGCTGTTAGAGGAGGTGGCAGATGAGGAGTTAGCGAGTGGGGAGGATGACGTGGCAGACCTCCTGAAGCTGCTGCACACCGCGTGCTTGCTGCGGACCAATCGCGTGCATCTGCTGCGCTCCCACGCGCTGCCACGTCTGCTCGACCGCGCCACGCGTGCAGCGCTGTACGCGCACGGTGTTGCCACGTCAGCACCTGGGGGAGGGGCGGCTGGGGTGGCTGCTGCTGCTGTTGCTGCTTCCCAGGCCTCGCTGGCAGGTTCGGCAGAGGTTGCAGCTGACACCTTGCTTCGGATTGTGGATCTGCTGATGGTGGAAGGTGGTGAGGGTGGCGGCATGGGGGGCGAAAGCGGTGTGGGCACTGCAACAGCAGAGAAGGAAGAATATAGCCAAGATGAGAAGGATGAGAAGTATGAAGGATCGGGGCGGGGAGAAGAAGCAGTGAGAGTTTTCCTCGAGAAGCTTACTGCTGCATCGCTCTCCCAGGCTGCTTCTGGGGTAGGCTTATCTGGCCCAGGCGCGTTTACAGTTGGAGGGGCAGGGGGAGGTGGTGGAGGAGGAGCAGGAGGAGGAGCGGGTGGAGGGAAGAAGAAGAAGAGGGATTTTTCGGAGAGTGTGGCTCGGATTTTGCCGTATATGACGTATGGGGAGGGCAGGGCTATGGGGGTTCTGGTGGATCATTTTTGCCCCCTGCTGCTGGATTGGGCTGGGTTTGATCGGTTGGTGGGGGAGTTGAGAGGGGTGGAGAAGGATGGGGAGGGGTTGGAGGTTGTGACAGAAAGAGGGGGTGGGGAGGGAGGGAGGGGGGAGAGTGCTGGGAAAGAGGAGGAAGAGGGGAAGGGAGGGGAGGAGGTGGGTAAGGAGGGGCAGGGGAGTGGTGGAGGTGGGGAGGGAGAGAGTGGGAAGGAGGAGAGTGAAGAGGAGAGTGAGGAGGAGAGGAGGAGGAAGGCAGTGCACTGGTGGCAGATGGCGGGGCATTTCGAGCGGCTGGTGGGAGCAATCAGGCTGGACGGCAGTGGGCTGAGGCTGCGCGCCCTCATCCTGGAGAGAGGCATTCTGCAAGGTAAGGGGCAGTTTGCAGCACTTTATCCCTGCAGGACGATTAGGAGAGTGGTATGGATATATCATATATGTATCCTCCTTCCCTCCCGCCGCCCTCTCCCCTACCTGAAATCTCTCTCATCTCTTGCCTCCTACCTGCCTGACCACACGCTCTCCCTCCTTTCCCTGCCCCTTCTCCTCAGCCTGCTTCTCAGTCTCTGCTTTTGAATCTGAGCTGCTGATAACTCACACCCTCCCCTCCTTTGCAACTTGCGCTTCCCCTCTCTTCCCCACCCTCTCCCGCCCCTCCCCTCCCTGCCCCCCCCCTTCCCCCAGCTGCTGTGAGCCATCTGCTCGCCTCCTTCCCCCCCGCGGCCCTCTCCCCTGCCTCCGACCTCTCTGACCTCCGCCCCCTCCCCGCCTGGCAACGCGCGCTCGCCCTGCCCTCCCTGCCCCTGCTCCTGGGTCTGCTGCTTGGCCTGTGCCGCGGCCATCCCCCCACACAACGAGTCCTGCTGAGCACCGGTGGGGGGAAGGGGGTGGCGGACTCTGGTGGTGGAGAGGAGGTGGAAACGGGTGGGGAGGAGGGGAGGGTGGGCGGGGAGAAGGTGGAGCAGGGTGCGGAAAACGGGGTGGGGGGGGCAGAGAAGGGGGTGTTACCACTGCTGCTGCTGCTGGAGGGGGTGGTGGGGTATGATGGGCTGGGAGCGAGGGCTGAAGCTCTTCTAGAGTTGCTGAGCGGTGGAGAGGAGTCGGGAGAGGTTGGCGAGCAAGGGGAGGGAGGGAAGGAGGAGGGGAGAGGAGATGGGGTGGATGAGGAGGTTCGGTTGGCAGTGGCGGCTCTAAGGGCAGCAGCAAAGGAGAGGAGGAGAGAGAAGGCAATGCGACGACGCATGGAGCTGATGAAGGTGAGTGAGGGAGTGAGGGAGGGAGTGAGTGAGCGAGTGAGTGAGGAGGGAGGGAGTGAAGGGGGGTGAGAGTGTGAGATGGGAGTGTGAATGGGAGTGGGTGCTGTGTGGTGAGGCAATGTACTGATGAAAGTGGGTGTGTGGGTGTGAGGAAGAATCTCCCTCTCTTCCTGATCGAACTCCCTCCCATCCCCTCGCCCTCCTCCCTTTCCCCCCGCTGCCCCCTCTCTCTTCCCTTTGTTATCATCAAATCTCAAAGCATGGGTTCAGATCCCAGCTGGCAGTTATTGATTGTTGAGACGACTCTAAAGCTCCCTCAATTCTTCACCCTTGTTTTTCCCATGCACCCCCACCCCCCCCCCCCCCCTCCTACCTCTCCTCCTTTTATCTCAGAGCATGGGGGTTAAATCCCAGCTGGCTCCTACTGGGGCCCACCGCATCGTGCTGACATCAGCAAAACCGTCGGTATCTGGGGAAGGCGCAGCCAGTGCAGGCCCCACTTCCGCAGTTGGTGTAGGCAGGTCCGGGGATGAGGAGGAGGAAGAGGAAGAGGCAGGGGAGGAGCGAAAGGAAAAGGGAGAGGAGGGAGAGGAAGAGGAGGAGGAGGAGGCTAGTGGCGCAGATGCCTCTGCTGCTGCTGCTCTGCTCTCCACTGCTTTCCCTTTCAACGACGCACAAGGTCTGCTGCTGAGCCGCCCCATCGCGCTGCCTCCTGCCATGCGTGCGCTGCGCTGCATGGTGTGCCACGAGGGGTACCGGCTGCGTCCCAACGAGCTGATCGGAGCCTACACCTTCTCCAGACGCTTCTCCGACCTCTCCACTTGGAGCCTGAGTAAGTATTGATGGTATTTGTTTGGTTGGTATGTTCTCTGCGCTGCATGGTGTGCCATGAGGGCTACCGTCTTCGCCCCAACGAGCTGATCGGAGCTTATACTTTCTCCAGACGCTTCTCCGACCTTTCCACTTGGAGCCTGAGTGAGTCTTTTTGTTGTTTTCTTTTTTCGTTTAGTGAAAAGGCTATGTACGAAGTTCAACAGCATCCACTTCCCCTGCTCTCTCTCCACGTCGCCCTGTGTGCTGCCTTCCCCTCGCCTTGCCGCCTTTATCTCCCGCCTCTTCTCCACAACAGCATCAACAACCAGCAGGGTGGCAGTGAACTGGTCTATCTCAGTCTCCCATTTCAACACCATCCAAAAGACCTGCTGTCTTTTGAGACGTCTCAAAAGCCCTGCTGCTCTCCTGTTGTCCCCGTGTCCCACCACCATTCCCTCTTGTCCATGTTCTTCCCTCCACTCCCTCCCCTCCCATCTCAACAGCATCAACAACCAGCAGGGTGGCAGTGCATTGGTCTATCTCCGCCGTCTCTCATTTCAACACCATCCACTTCTCCTGCTGCTCATTTCCCCCCTCCCGCCATTCTCTTGCCTGTGTCCTTCCCTCTCACTTCTCCCTCTCCTTGTCCCCCTCTTTCTCTCCCTTCCCCCTCGCAGCATCAACAACTAGAAGGGTGGCAGTGCACTGGTCTTTCTCCACAGTCTCTTACTTCAACACCATCCACCTCTCCTGCTCATGTCCCTCTTTTCACCGTTCTCTTGCCTCTGTCCTTCCCTCCCACTTCCCACTCTCTTTCTCCCCCTCGCAGCATCAACAACTAGCAGGGTGGCAGTGCACTGGTCTTTCTCCACAGTCTCTCACTTCAACACCATCCACCTCTCCTGCTCATGTCCCTCTTTTCACCGTTCTCTTGCCTCTGTCCTTCCCTCCCACTTCCCACTCTCTTTCTCCCCCTCGCAGCATCAACAACCAGCAGGGTGGCAGTGAACTGGTCTATCTCCACAGTCTCCCATTTCAACACCATCCACTTCTCCTGCCACGACCGAGCCAAGCGCGCCGATGCCGCCCTCAAGCTGCCCAAGCGCGAGTGGGACGGCGCTGCTCTCAGGAACGGTGGCACGCTGTGCAACGCACTCTTCCCCTTACGGGGCCCGCAGGTATGGCCCCCTTGCCTTGCCTGTCACATGAGCCAAGCGCGCCGATTCCGCCCTCAAGCGGCCCAAGCGCGAGTGGGACGGCGCAGCCCTCAGGAACGGAGGAACCCTCTGCAATGCCCTCTTCCCTCTGCGGGGCCCTCAGGTAACAAAGAGTTTAACTCTACTGCCGTTCTTCTGCTAAACGGAGGAAGCTATTTTCCTAAGCTGCAGCTCGCCTAGTCTCACCTCTGCAATGCCCTCTTCCCTCTGCGGGGCCCTCAGGTAAGGCCGCCTTTTTAGTAGCACCTTCCCCTCCAAACTGTAATGCGAGTGCTACACAATACATATTGGCAGCACCACTGCCTGACAGAGCCAAGGCCTTTCGAGCCCATTCTTCCCTCAAAGGATGGCCTCCCCTGCCCAGGCTGGACGCCTGGTGGGAGAGCGTTTCCTCCCTCTGCCACGTGAAAGGCTCCCACTTCCTTTCACCTTACATGCTCTTCCCTTTCCCTTCCACTCACCCTTACAGGTCTCCCCTGCAGTGTATGCCCGCGGGCTGGATTCCTGGTGGGAAAGCGTCTCCTCCCTCAACCACGTGGACGGTTCTCGCTTCCTCGTGCTCCTCCTTACACGCACTTCCCTCCCCACCCCTGCGTTCCCACCCCAACAGGTATCCCCAGCAGTGTACGCCCGTGGGCTGGATTCCTGGTGGGAGAGCGTCGCTTCCCTCGGCCATGTGGACGGTTCGCGCTTCCTCGTCTTACTCCGGGACCTCCGCACGCTCGTCGCCCGCTTCGTGCTCGCAGCCAGCTTCAGCACCGACTGCCACGGGGGCGGGCGCGAGAGCAACGCGCGCTTCCTCCCCTTCCAGCTTCACATGCTGCTGCACCTCTCATCCTCCGCCTCGTCTTCCCAGCGACACTCCCTCGACTCCTCCCTATCTGCCCTGCTCGACCTTGCCTCTCAGTTACATTCCAGGCTTCCCTCTGCTCTTTCCTCCATCTTCCCCCGTTCCTCGCCTTCATCCTGTGATTCCCCCTCGCGACACCCCCCCTCCTCTTCCTCTCCTTCTAGATTCTCCCCTCTCCTCCTCCCCGTTGCAATCATCCCCTCTTGCCTCCTCCCCATTACAGTCCTCCCTCCTTCTCTCCTCCTCCCCCTCAGCCTCCACCTCCTCCCCTCGCTCTTCCTCTCCCTCTGCCTCCTCTCTCCACCTCTCTCGCTCCTCACTCTCCACAGCAACTGTCGCGGGCGGGATGGGCGGCAGTGTGTGCGATGCCATGCTGGCAACTGTGCTGACGTGGCCACTGCACAGGTGGCAGCGATCGCGCCACCTGTTCCTGCTGATGGCAGTGCATGAGGCGGCACGGGCACATGTGGTGGGTCTGGATGGATGTGCTGTGCTGCCCCCTTCTCTCGCCGGACCTGCTATGGCAGCTTCTGCTGCTACTGCTGCCACTGCTTCTGCTTCCTCTGCTGCTGCTGCTGGTAGTGGTGTTGCTACTGCTGCTGCTGGTGATAGGGATACTGCTGCTGCTGCTGCTTCTGCTGCAGCAGACAGCAATGCAGTGGGAGGGTCAGAACCACCACCAGCACCGCCACCACCAGCCCTGCGGGCAATGCTGCTCTTTGCTTCGTTCGTGGACCGGCTCCATACCTTCCTGAAAGCTTCTACCTCTACTGGAGAAGCCTCTATCAAGGGTGCTGAGGATCGCAGTGAATCCGGGTCCACGAGTCACAATTCTGAAGAGGAAAGTGTAGAAGACCAGAGCAAGGCGGCTAGGAAAGCCGGGGAAATCTCATCCCCGATGCAAATGCCCGGCTCATCTGCACCAACTCCCATCCCAACAGTGCCGTCAAGCCGATCTCCTAGCTCTCGCAAGGTAACTTCTGCTTCTTCCAAGTCAACTTCGCCCTTGTCACGGTCGAAACAGGAAATTGCGGCGGATCGAGCGTGGGAGGATTTGGCGAAGCAGCGATTGGTGGATGTGCCGCTCATGGCACGGCTTAGCCTGGAGATAACGCGTTGGATGGAGGCGGTCCATGGTTCGCCGGGACAGGTTGATTGGGAAATGCTCGATAGGGTTGCAGGTCCTTGGCCAGGTTCGGGCTGTGAGCCTGCTGTTGCTGACCTGTTCAATCATTTTGTGTCACTGCTTTGAATAATTCTTACTAGCTAGGTTGAGATGAGGATTTGTTGGACTTCTTTGTCATAGATCCTACTGTATAATAATATAGGTATTAGGCGCCTAAACTTAAGTGTACTCTGGCTTTTGCGCGGATCTGCTTCCCAGCCTTGGATTGGTGCCACGTAGTTAGGCATCCGGATCAGATGCGCAGGATTCTGAACCGACGTCACTCTGTCGTCAGAGGGCACTCGAACCAGCGATGCCTGCACATGTGGCGAAACGCAGCGAGCTGAGAGGATCTGTTTACGTGGCTGGTGACTTCCTGGTAAGTTTTGTCAATGATTTTCGAGGGCGTGTTTTCTCTGTCAGTTCAGCTCCGGTTAAAGACCATTGTGAATGCTTCTTAGCTGGTTGCAGTGAAATCCGCGAGACCTTTTAGACCTGGATGCTCACACACGGAGCTCGGTATCCGTATTGAAGAATGTTCCGAACTGCGTATCTTTCGGGCTCAAATCGACACCATTCGCAATTCGTATGTTCCAGATACGCCTCACGGACACTAATTCTGACCTAGAAACTATTCCTTGATATTGACGAGGAGTGCACCTTCATAGTTTAGTTACTCCGCCAATCACGGTTCGTTTTTCCCCACAACCATGGCGACTGCGGCTCTCTGCTCCGCTCCCAGCCTTTCCGCAAGCCTCGCGCTCTCGCGGAGGGGAGAAATTGCCGGAGCTCAGCAGTTGCCGGTCGCGTTGAGCAGCGCGGCCGTGAGAACTGGCGCGTTCGACGTTGCCTCGCTGCGGAAGCAGCGCGGTCACCATGGCTTGAACGTCGCTCGCCAGCCAGTGCAGGCCAGAGCTGGCGAGAAGGTACTTATCTAATAAATGTTTTACGAAAAAACATCCTCGCAGATCAGGACCAGCAAAGAGATCCTGCCTAATCAACGCCTTATCATGGTCATTGCAGGCCATGGCTAGCGGAAAGGTGCTTCAGTAGTCAATATTTTAATAGGCATTGCCCTTGCAGGCCTGAGCTTGTGACAGGGTACAAACCTAATCAGCGCCTTGTCATTATTGTTGCTGGCCAGGCCATCTCTTGAGGGTAGTCTCGTGCTGATAAAGTCCGAAGACCAATGCATTCCTTATTTCCCGTGTCAGGCAGCTGTCTTCAAGCTTAGCTGTAGCCCTGGAGCGAACGACATCAATTTCGCGAGCGAACGCCTTCGCATTTCTCAGCGATTTTTTCGTTTTCTTTTGTTGTCGTCTTGTTTCGCTGCCCAGCCCTCCTCATCCGCAGAGCCGTCCGATGCTTCTCGCGTGGCATCAACGGTGGCTGGCAAAGCCGTCGCTGCGGTGCTAGCTGCTATTCAGGTAAGTCATTCGGTTAGACACTATGTAAAAACACTCACTTGAGTAGATGAAAACGCACTGTAACGCAATTCAGCTTTGACGCGTATGACGGTTCTCAACCGGATGGTCGAACCAAACAAACGTTTGAAGGATTTTCAAGGCATTCCCAGGTGTAAATTACCTCCAACTCTCGTCTATTCACCCACTCCCCTCGTCCTCCCCCCCCCACTCCCCGCTCCCTTCTCCCCAGGTGCTTGCGCCAGTGTCCGCCGCGTTCGTCTCCGTGCTGGCGCAGCCACCCCCCAACGCATTCCCCTTTCACCTCCGTGCATTTCCCCCATTCTCCTCCCCTTCAGGTGCTTGCGCCAGTGTCCGCCGCGTTCGTCTCCGTGCTGGCGCAGCCACCCCCCAACGCATTCCCCTTTCACCTCCGTGCATTTCCTCCATTCTCCTCCCCTTCAGGTGCTCGCGCCAGTGTCCGCCGCGTTCGTCCTCCTGCTGGCGCAGCCACCCGCCGCGGAAGCCATCCTGCTCTCCCCGGACACCAAGGTTCCGCGCAATGCTGACGTGGCGCTCCGCCGCGCCGTGCCAGTTGTCAACGAGGCCGTCAGGAAGATCCAGGTAAGTCAATCTTAATCTGATCTGTGTGCATAAGCCAACGAACACTAAAACACTGGTAAGAAAGCTCCAAGTGAAGCCGAATTAGATTCCATGGAAATCTATAGGCCAGCCAATAAGTAGTATTGACCCAATGCTACTACAACCCTGGTAGAGAAGAATTCAGAAAGGCAACTAAAATCGTGGGATTAGGGCAGCCAATTCCACAACACAACCCATGTGAGGAAGACCCAAGTGAGGCCAGTATAGAATGAATGGGGTCGGGGAGTTCTCCTTTCTGTTTCAATGCACTTTCTATCAATTGTTCTTGCACGTTCGCAAACTGAGCATTTTCTACAACCTCCTCTTTTCTGTATTTCTCTTTCACCTATTCCTCTTCCCCCCTTCCCTCTCCCTTCCCCCATCCCTCCCTCCCGCCAATCCAACGTCCTGGCCTGCTACCGTCCAATCAGGATGAGTTGGAGGAGATTTCGACCCTCATGCGCATCCCTCAGAAGAAGCCGTACAAGACCATGCAGGCGAACGTGAATAAGGCAGTCAAGGTGAGCGCACTGCAATGTAGGTTATAACCCTCATGCTCATCCCTCAGAAGAAGCCGTACACGACAATGCAGGCCAACGTGAAAAGGGCGGTCAATGTGAGTGCGTGCGAGAGCTAAGTCGTCTCAAAAATCGATTTTTGAGACGCCTCAAATCCCCCAGAAGAAGAAGTACATGAAAGCCAGCGTGAATAAGGTGGTCAAGGTGAGTGCATGCGCTCCTTTTTCTTCCCCTCTTCCACCCCCCCTCTCCTCTCCCTCGTCCTCTCCCCACTCTTTTCCTCCCCTTTCTTATTCCTCTGTTCTCTTCTTTCCCCCCATGCAGTTGGCGGAGGCAAATCAAGTAGCGATTTTGGATGCAGTGCCTGCTGCCGACAAGGAGAGGGCAGCAGCCATTTACAACGACCTTGTCAATTCCAAGGTGTGTGGTGTGGTGCTGTGCGGTGCTGTGCATTGCTGTGTGGTGCTGTTCTGTGCCTGGCCTCGTGTACATCCGCCTGGCCTCATTGCTCTCCCTTTCCCACTTGGCCTCTTTTTTCCCTCTCTCTCTTCCCTCCCATCAGAGCGGCTTCCCCGGCCTGCTAGCAGCCATAGAGGACAAGGACCCTGACCGTGTCTCCATCCCCATTTCGCTTCCGCTCCCTCCCTCTTTGCTGCTGTTTCTCCACCCTCTCATTTCAGAGCGGCTTCCCCGGCCTGCTAGCAGCGATAGAGGACAAGGATCCTGACCGCGTCTCCATCCGCCTCGCCTCCTCCCTCAACGACGTCGCCAACCTCTCTCTGCTGCAGGCCACGGGCCTCCAGTTCCTCATCCCCAACCAATACGCTAGCCTCCCACGGTGGGTATCATGGATTTACTTAGAGATTCTGCTCGCTGAAAGGCCAGAGTTGGTTTTCTGGCAAGTGCTGCTGGATTGCCAACTTCCTCCGCTGCTGCAAGCCACGGGCCTCCAGTTCCTCATCCTACGCCAGCCTCCCACGGTGAGGGAATCTTAACATCTTACATATGTGTCTTACTGCTTCCACTTCCCAAACCCCTCACAATACCACGTGCGGTAAAGGCCAGCCTCTCGCTGCTGCAAGCCACTGGCCTCCAGTTCCTCATCCCCGCCCAATACGCCATCCTCCCACAATGTTTTAAGCAGATTTTTCTTAGAAATCCCTCTCTCTGAAAGGTAACTGCTGAACTGCCTGCCAGCCACTCTCGCTGCTGCAAGCCACGGCCCTCCAGTTCCTCGTCCCCGCCCAATATGCAAATCTCCCACGATGGGTGTTAGCATATGTGCGTCACTGAACAACCGACCGCTCTGCTCATAGCTGAAACATGCCCAGCCTCAGTCTCCCTCTGCTCACCTTCCTCTCGCGTCCATCCTCTCTCTTTTTCTCCCCAGGCTAACAGGACGAGCAACGGTGGAGTTCGCTGTGCTCAAGGCGGATGGCTCCTACTTCTCTCTTGATAATGGAGCCACCTCGGCGCTCACCGGCGTGGTGCAGGTGGGTATTCCGTTCCTCCATGCTCCCCACTTCCATCCATTGTCTCCTCCTCTGCGTGCTTGCAATGGATGGTTCCCACTCCACTCCCATCCCATGTCTCCTCTGTTCCCACGTCTTTGTTTCCCCACGAGTTTCCTCTACATGCTTGCATTGGATGGCCCCTCCTTCTCCCTCGGTAACAGAGCCACTTCTGTTCTTACAGACATGATGCAGGTGGGTTTCGCTGCAGCCACAAGCACGCTTCCTTCCCACACAGTAACCGTCATCTTTTGTATCTGTTCACCTGTCATACCTCCTTCGCAGCATCCCTCCCACCCCCCTTTCCATTCCCTTCCTGTCCCAATTGCTTCCCCTGCCATCCCATTTCCTTCCCTTCCCTCCCCATTCCCTTTCCTTCCCAATCGCTTCCCTTGCTGTTCCATCCCTTTTCCACCCCCTCCCATTCCCATCCATTCCCACTCCCCGTTCACTGCACAGGTGGTGCTGTATGGTTACTCCGCTGCTCCTTTCCCATGCCCTTACCATGCCCTTCACCTTCCCTTCCCTTCCCATTCCCATCCATTCCCACTCCCCGTTCACTGCACAGGTGGTGCTGTATGGTTACTCCGCTGCTCCTTTCCCATGCCCTTACCATGCCCTTCACCTTCCCTTCCCTTCCCATTCCCATCCATTCCCACTCCCCGTTCACTGCACAGGTGGTGCTGTATGGTTACTCCGCTGCTCCTTTCCCATGCCCTTACCATGCCCTTCACCTTCCCTTCCCTTCCCATTCCCATCCATTCCCACTCCCCGTTCACTGCACAGGTGGTGCTGTATGGTTACTCCGCTGCTCCTTTCCCATGCCCTTACCATGCCCTTCACCTTCCCTTCCCCTCCCATTCCCATCCATTCCCACTCCCCGTTCACTGCACAGGTGGTGCTGTATGGTTACTCCGCTGCTCCTTTCCCATGCCCTTACCATGCCCTTCACCTTCCCTTCCCCTCCCATTCCCATCCATTCCCACTCCCCGTTCACTGCACAGGTGGTGCTGTATGGTTACTCCGCTGCTCCTTTCCCATGCCCTTACCATGCCCTTCACCTTCCCTTCCCCTCCCATTCCCATCCATTCCCACTCCCCGTTCACTGCACAGGTGGTGCTGTATGGTTACTCCGCTGCTCCTTTCCCATGCCCTTACCATGCCCTTCACCTTCCCTTCCCCTCCCATTCCCATCCATTCCCACTCCCCGTTCACTGCACAGGTGGTGCTGTATGGTTACTCCGCTGCTCCTTTCCCATGCCCTTACCATGTCCTTCACCTTCCCTTCCCCTCCCATTCCCATCCATTCCCACTCCCCGTTCACTGCACAGGTGGTGCTGTATGGTTACTCCGCTGCTCCTTTCCCATGCCCTTACCATGCCCTTCACCTTCCCTTCCCCTCCCATTCCCATCCATTCCCGCTCCCCGTTCACTGCACAGGTGGTGCTGTATGGTTACTCCGCTGCTCCTTTCCCATGCCCTTACCATGCCTTTCACCTTCCCTTCCCCTCCCATTCCCATCCATTCCCACTCCCCGTTCACTGCACAGGTGGTGCTGTATGGTTACTCCGCTGCTCCTTTCCCATGCCCTTACCATGCCCTTCACCTTCCCTTCCCCTCCCATTCCCATCCATTCCCACTCCCCGTTCACTGCACAGGTGGTGCTGTATGGTTACTCCGCTGCTCCTTTCCCATGCCCTTACCATGCCCTTCACCTTCCCTTCCCCTCCCATTCCCATCCATTCCCACTCCCCGTTCACTGCACAGGTGGTGCTGTATGGTTACTCCGCTGCTCCTTTCCCATGCCCTTACCATGCCCTTCACCTTCCCTTCCCCTCCCATTCCCATCCATTCCCACTCCCCGTTCACTGCACAGGTGGTGCTGTATGGTTACTCCGCTGCTCCTTTCCCATGCCCTTACCATGCCCTTCACCTTCCCTTCCCCTCCCATTCCCATCCATTCCCACTCCCCGTTCACTGCACAGGTGGTGCTGTATGGTTACTCCGCTGCTCCTTTCCCATGCCCTTACCATGCCCTTCACCTTCCCTTCCCCTCCCATTCCCATCCATTCCCACTCCCCGTTCACTGCACAGGTGGTGCTGTATGGTTACTCCGCTGCTCCTTTCCCATGCCCTTACCATGTCCTTCACCTTCCCTTCCCCTCCCATTCCCATCCATTCCCACTCCCCGTTCACTGCACAGGTGGTGCTGTATGGTTACTCCGCTGCTCCTTTCCCATGCCCTTACCATGCCCTTCACCTTCCCTTCCCCTCCCATTCCCATCCATTCCCACTCCCCGTTCACTGCACAGGTGGTGCTGTATGGTTACTCCGCTGCTCCTTTCCCATGCCCTTACCATGCCCTTCACCTTCCCTTCCCCTCCCATTCCCATCCATTCCCACTCCCCGTTCACTGCACAGGTGGTGCTGTATGGTTACTCCGCTGCTCCTTTCCCATGCCCTTACCATGTCCTTCACCTTCCCTTCCCCTCCCATTCCCATCCATTCCCACTCCCCGTTCACTGCACAGGTGGTGCTGTATGGTTACTCCGCTGCTCCTTTCCCATGCCCTTACCATGCCCTTCACCTTCCCTTCCCCTCCCATTCCCATCCATTCCCACTCCCCGTTCACTGCACAGGTGGTGCTGTATGGTTACTCCGCTGCTCCTTTCCCATGCCCTTACCATGTCCTTCACCTTCCCTTCCCCTCCCATTCCCATCCATTCCCACTCCCCGTTCACTGCACAGGTGGTGCTGGATGGTTACTCCGCTCCTCTCACAGCCGGAAACTTTGCTCAGCTGGTGAGTGGGAGGAGGGATTGGGGGGAGGAGTGAGGGAGTGGGGGAAGCGAGGGAGTGAGATAGCTGAGTAAATGTGAGGGAGTGAGGAAGTGCTGAACGGTTGTTCCTCCACTTGCAAAGCCCGAAACCTTGCTCATGTAGCGAGTGCTTGAGTGGGTTTCGGAGGGAGAGAGTGAGTGGGTGGTTGAAGAGGAGAGTGGGTGAGTGAGTGAGGTCAAAAAGCGAGACGCGAGTGATAGAGGGGTTTGAAAACTCCCTCTCCTTCATTCACAAATCTCCAGACACTTTCAAGTCAAACCAACCCCAACTCGTGACCCCCTTCCTCAATAGCAGGTGTACCTCCCCGCTCACAACGGAGTGGCAGTGAAGACACGCGGCGGCAAGTGAAGGCAGGCGAAGGGACCTCTCGGTGATATCCGCCACGCCATCCATCGCATTCGATGGAATGTCATTCGATTCGACGCTTGAGATGCCTCTGCTCCCAAACCGCTGTCCTCTTCGACCCTTCACACCCCAAATCCAACTCAAACCCCTACTCTCCTGACTCGCCAGGTGTCCCGCCGGGCATATGATGGAGCGGCAGTGAAAGCAACTGACCTGGCGGTGCAATCCTGTGGGATTCGTCGGACGCTGCAAGTCTGTAAACACAACACATTTTTATCACAAACACCTGGACTGCCCTAAACTCACCAGGTGTCCCGCCACGCATATGACGGAGTGGCAGTGAAAGCCACCGACCTCGCCGTGCTATCCAACGCTCGAGATCCCTCCGATGTTGCAATTCTGTGTTAAAACCTCACTTTTCATCACAAACACCTGAACTAACTGCCCAAAATCGCCAGGTGTCCCGCCGCGCATATGACGGAGTGGCAGTGAAAGCCACCGACCTCGCCGTCCTATCCGACGCTCGAGATCCGTCCGCCGGCCGCGACGTGCCTCTTGAGATCATGCCAGCTGGCGAGTTCCAACCCATCTACCGCACACCGTTGGACGTGCAGGTAGGTGGAGGGTTTTGCTGCATCAGGTGTGCTGGTAAAGGGGGCGTTTGCTGTGCTGAACATGCGGGTTGTGAGGTGCCTCTGAGGGAGGTGTGCCTCTTGAGATCATGCCAGCTGGCGAGTTCCAACCCATCTATCGCACACCGCTGGACGTGCAGGTAGGATGCTTCGGTGTGCTTCTGAGATGCTTCTGAAATGCTTTTCGGATGCTTCTGAGATGTTTCTGGGATGGTTCTGAGATGCCACCAGGATGCTTTTGAGCTGGGTCTGCACTTGGCCTTGAGGGGCGTGCCTCTTAAGGGTCCTGCTGTCCATGTCTGTGTTCGGTGCACTAATCACGGCCCGCTTTTCTGTTTGACCTCCTTTCTTATTTGATAATGACCACCTCTAACCCGTCTTGCCCTCCCGTCTTTCCTACAGGACGGGGAGCTCCCAGTGCTGCCAATGTCAGTGTTCGGTGCACTGGTCATGGCCCACTCTTTTAAAAGCAACTCCCTTCTCTGTCCGACCTCCTTGTCTTCCCGCTCATAACCACCCTTTACCCTCTTGCCCTCCCTTCTTTTCTACAGGACGGGGAGCTCCCAGTGCTGCCCATGTCAGTGTTTGGAGCAATGGTCATGGCGCACTCTCCAGAAACTGACTCCTTCAGCCATCCCTCACAGTTCTTCCTCTACAAATACGACAAGAGACGGGTACGTGTTTTTTCCTGTATCATCAGAAATCCACAAGGGATGGGCAGGTGCTAGTGCCTGCTGTGGTTGTGAGTCGACTCAGCAGTTATCTCTCCAGAGAGCGACTCCTTCAGCCATCCCTCGCAGTTCTTCCTTAACAAATACGACAAGAGACGGGTGGGTGTTGTTTGAGTCATACACTAGAAGAGATGAGTAGGTGAGAGTACCTGCTGCGCTTGTGAGCCCACTCAACAGTCGTTTCACCTGAAAGTGACTCCTTGAGTTATCCCTCACCGTTGTCCCTCAACAAATACGACAAAAGACGGGTAGGTGCTAATGCCTGCAGTGACAGCATGCTTCGTTCTTAGCGAATGGTGCCATGTGTTTGGTGCGCCTCCTGTCCTTTCTAATCCGCTCGTCCCATTCACCTGTTTTTTGTATTGTGTAATGCAGTCTGGGTTGGGTGGACTTGCCTTTGATGAGGGCCAATTCTCAGTTTTCGGGTAAGCCAAACACTTCATGTCAACTTGCTGCCAGAATCGCCTCGCTTATGCTTTTCCATGATGAAATTTTCTGAAATATGCTGTGTTTGGTGGTATGCTTATGCAGGTATGTGACAAAAGGGAGGGACGTTTTGGCACAGCTGCGCACGGGGGATGTGATTCAATCAGCTCGTATTGTGGCCGGGGCTGATAGGCTATCAGTCCCAAATGTGTAATGAGGTTTTCCCGAGATAAAAATACAACAAAGTGCCTAAAGACAGGCTGGGGTCAACAAAATCATCTATTGTACAAATATTAAATTTCTCAATGCCCTCTGTGCTCAATCAAAAATGTGTTATAACGGTCCTTGCGGTGTTTCACCCTTACACTATATGCGCCCTCTCCACATACATCCTGTATCGTGTATCCGTCACCCGATTGTGCTTTGTCAGTCAGTAGTGCAAGCCCGCGACTCGGGTCGCACAGACCTCTTTCGTAGTACCTTAGCGTTCCGTAGTCCATGCGTAATACAGAATCTTAGGTCTCCAGTATCGTAGACTGGAGTTCGTCATTGGCAGATGAAGCTGAAGCAGCTCGAGTCGCTCCTAGGAGATGTGCAACAGTTCGACAATCCCAAGGTGGGGCGGTTTGAAAACTCAAGGAAGGTTGAGTCGCCGATCCCGTGCGATCCGGTGTTGCGTTCGACAATGCGAATGTTTTCCGTGTTATCGCATACGCTATCTACGGCGATTTCGATTCGAAATCGCTTCGCTTCGATTCTGTTCTGGTCGTGGAACCTTCGTGGAAACCAGGGCTGTCGTTCCCTCATGTCCGCCTTCGCGCTCGGAATTTTACTTCAGAATGTCTTTGGCACGCGATCTCTATTCGATGGGCGAGAGCAGATAATGAAACACTTCATACCTTGTTTCCTTACCTATTTATTCCCCTTCCTAGCCACCCACCCACCCATTTCATTCCCCACCCACTCCCACCCCCTACCCTTCCCCCGTTGCTAATTCCCCGCCGTTCCCACACGTCTTTCCCCTCCACCCGCTTCCACCCTCCTCCACGCGCGCTCCTTTCACCTTCTCTTGCTCTCCTCTGACAATGCAACCTGGACCACCTCGCACATGGACTTTTAACCTCTTTGCACAACCATTCCTTCCACCTCCAGCCCCCTCCAACCCGTCCACGCCTCTCCATCCCCCTCCAACCCACTCGAACCCGCTCCATCCCCCTCCACCGCTCTCCATCCCCTCCATCAGATTGAGTTGGAGCAGTACCCCACGGGGCCTCACATTGCCTCTCGCATGCTCTATGAGGTGACAGCTGCTGCAATCTTTGCATGCAATCACGATGTTGCATGTTGTTTATGTACTATCGCTAAGCTAACACGTTATTAATTGTATTTCTATCGATTACATCTGGTCATTGCCAGCCTGTAATCTGTTCAATGCACACTATGTGATGCTCCTTTTAGCGTATTCCTGTCATGCAAAATCCTCTCTCTCACACAAAATGTGTGCATATCACCCAAGATATATTGCACACAATGATGTCTCTCACACACACAAATGGCCCTTCTCGTCTCCATCCCTTTCAGATCCACACTCGCTTTGATGACGTGGAGGGGGGGGGCGCACAGTGCTCGACCTTGGCTGTGGGTGGTGCGGTGGTGTGTGTGCAGTACCTATCAAGATTCTCTCTCCTTCTCCTCAACGCTGCTTTCAGAGCCACACTCACACAAAATGTCTCTTCTTCCGCCCTTCAGATCCACACGCGCTTTGATGACGTGGAGGGGCGTACAGTGCTCGACCTCGGCTGTGGGTGCGGCACCCTAGGGATTGCCGCAGCCATGCTGGGTGCAGAGTGAGTCAACCGCTTAGAACCGCACCAGACCATCTTGTACATGCAAAAAATGTAGAAAGAATCAGCTGCCCAGAGCCACATCAGCCCTTTTTGCGTGGTTCGTACGTAATGCTGCAGCCCCGCTACCCTTCATTCATGCATCCTTCACGTACCCTCCATTCATGCAAGTGTGCGGCTGTATGTGTGTGTGCGTATGTGCATGCATGCATATTCGCATATTCGCTTGTATGTCTCTGCATGTGTGTGCACATCCTTGCATGCATGCATGCAGGTATGTGGTGGGAGTGGATGCGGACGACTCAGCCATTGCCACAGCACAGGCCAACTGTCAAGAGTATGAGGTGCGCCGTTCGTCCCTCTCCCTGTAAGAGTGTAGCATGTGAACATTCATGTGTGCATGGGAACATGCATCCATGCATGCAGGTATGTGGTGGGAGTGGATGAATCAGCCATTGCCACAGCACAGGTCGACTGTCAAGAGTACGAGGTGTGCCTTCTAATCGTCTCTTTGTAAGAATGTATCGTTTCCTTAGGTGCCTCTAACATAGGCTCCTCGTGAAAAAGACGCCTAAAAAATACAAAACTCCACGCAGAAATGTAGCATGCGTGTGGAAGGGGTTGTGTGGCAACTTATAAAAGCCTCAGGGGTGCGCAGGGGTTGTGTAAGAGCCAACTGAGCTTATCGTGCTCAAATGCCTGGGAGACAGAGGGCCAGTTGTGTTCTCTTTGTTTTGTTCATATATCTCCAGTCATGTTACATCATGTATTGTCAGGTTTGATATGTTATGCTTTGTTACCTTAATCACGTGCAGTACACTAGAGTGTATCTAGTTCTCCACCAGAGCGGATGCTATTCTGTATGTTTATTGTGTACCTTTGTGTATGTGCAGATTGACATGGACTTCATTCAGGCAAACCTCTTCTTGAGGCACCTCAAAAAGAGTTCCAGGGGTCATATTTGGTCTTGTGTGTTTGTGTGTGTTTGTGTGTGTTTGTGTACCTTTGTGGATGTGCAGATTGACATGGACTTCATTCAGGCGAAACTCCCCCACTTGTCTCTCACTAGTTAAGCCTCTGACTCCATCCTTCCTCAGCATCCCTTCTCTTCCTCCTATTTGTCCTTGGTACTGGCACTGAAAGCTGCCCTTCCAAAAAAAACAAAAACAAAAAACTCGGGGCACTCTGTCTTTGGGCCTTCTGTTTGGGTAATGAAGAGAAACGATGCTCTCCTTCTTTCTCATAAGCTGCAGCCCGATTCTTCTCCTTGCTCATTGACTCATCTCACTTCGTTCTAACATACCTCCATTACTCTCAATCGCGCTCCCAATATTTCCGGTTGCTCTCTCTCCGTGTCCCCAACTTCACTTCCTTTGCCCCTGAAACGCGCATCCTCTAATCGAGAAGCAGCATGTGCACCTGAAACACACAAGCGATTGATTTTTTTGCCGCCTCGGAAATATAATGACAAACCCTTCCCTTGGCAGGCACCAGAAGCTTCTTCTTTTAGGCGACTCATGAATAGAATCCTGCTCTTGCTGCTCCCTGCAGGCGGCTCAGTTGAGGTGGTGGTGATGAACCCTCCCTTTGGCACGAGAACCAAGGGCGCTGACATGCTCTTTCTGGTGACTTCTGGGTCTACTTGAGGTCTTCTTGTAGGTGCCTCATAGTCAGACTCCTTCTCTTGCTTGCTCCCTGCAGGCGGCTCAGTTGAGGTGGTGGTGATGAACCCGCCCTTTGGCACGAGGACCAAGGGCGCTGACATGCTCTTCTTGGCAGCAGGGCTCAAGGTGGGTGCACCTGTGTGTGAGGCTTTAAGTGGAATGGAGTGAATTGTTCCTTGACATGGTCTCACTCTCCCTTTGGCGCGAGAACCAAGGGCGCTGACATGCTCTTTTGGGCAGCAGGGCAGGTGGGGTACAGGGTCCACGTCTGTGAGGTTCAAGGGGCGTGAAATACTTCATTCCTTCACAGAGTCTCAAATTGCCCTTTGGCACTCAAACCAAGGCGGCATTCGAACCGAGGCAGCAACATGCTCTTTTTGGCTGCAGAACTTATCGTGAGGCACGGTGCCATAATTAAGGGATTTTGTTTTTCAAAATGAAAATCTTTATAAGGAAAAGAGTTTGATCAGAGGAGTTTGATCAGGAAAATGTGTTTCCAAGGTATTTTTGGCATTGCGTATGTGGATAAGCTCCGGATGGGTAGCATGCTATGGTGGCTCCTTTCCCTGCACAGCTCACAGACAAGAATCAGCACTCCTCTCCTCCTGTGCCCCTTGTCCTCTTGTGCCCCTTGTTGTCGTCGTGTGTCCTCTTGTGTCCGCGCCCTCTTGTCTCTCTCTCCCTCTTGTCTCCCTCGTCCTGTTGTACTCCTCACCCGCGCGGGCTACTTCAGGCTGCGTCAGTAGCCGTTTACTCGCTGCACAAATCATCGACTCGAGAGGTGTACATTTCCCCCTTCACTTTCCTTTTTTTCCTTTTGTCGCTTTCCTTTCGTTTCCTTGTTCCCCTGACAACCTCGCTTCGCTTGCTTCCCCTGATTCAATTGGATCCAAACCACTTTCTCTCCCTTTTTCTCACTTCTCTCCTAGCCTTTTGTCACCCTCCTCATTATTACCCTCATATTGCTCCTGTACCTTATACATTACCCTGAGACCACCTACCCTGCCTATAGCTTTTTTCATACATCTTCTGATGTTTCTGAATGTTTACATTACATCAGCTTGGCCTGGCATTCTGGTTGGTTGAGTCATCCCACCTACATCTTTTTATATCACGCTGTGCATTTTTTTTTTTTTTTTTTTTTTTGGTATGTATGCACCAGCATGTACAACGGGCAGCGCTAAGAGATTTTGGCGCAAAGAGTGCTGAAGTGTTGTATCAGGTAAGCACTGTGTCTTAAGAACTTTGATTTCTATATGCAAGCTACTAAGGTTGGATCTTGATTAACGATGGTTTATGAATGATTGTGAACCTCGTGCTGTGCAGGTTAGGTACAATTTACCAGCTTGTACAAATTTCATAAGAAGAAAGAGGTAGACATTGAAGTCGATTTATGGCGATTTGTGCCTTGTCGAGGATAAATGCTGTCTTCTCACATGAAAGTCGAGGATCATCTGACACCACCAATCACCAGTGTGCCTGAAATCTCGGCTTGCCCGTATTGATTGGTCGCGTTCCGGTTTTTTTACAACAACCTACAGCCCGGTCCGCGGGCAGGCGAACCTCGTCAAATTCCTGTCTTGGTGATGCTCATCTACAGTTTTGAGTGTGAGGTGTTGGCTGAATTCCTCACCTAGACTGATTTGAGGTGTGGTTCCTCAGATCAAGGTTGCTGGACCACAATTGCAGCAGGCAACCTCCATGACCACTTGGTGGTACAGTACATTTGGGCCGGCTGATTCTGTGATGCTGCTGCCCGTGAAAGCGAACTTGCTCACTAGCATGTCAACGACACGCAGATCACTTCCCCAACAATGGCGCATGTTTTCAGAGTAACTCCTGGTTTTGACTGGAGGTTTGATTTGAAACTCTGTTTGGCTTCCTAAGCTCAACACCCAGCAACTACAAGGTACTTCTGGATGTATATATACATTGCATAAATTATTTCATCCCCCCCACCTCCCCCTCCCCCCCCCCCAAAAATAAAAACTCTGGACGGTTCCATTGAAAATATATTTGCGTTTAAATTCCACCTCACCTAAAACCCGCAGCCACCCTCGGGATGACAAAAGTTCACTTCGCACAATTTCTCAGAAATCCTACAATGAATCAACACTGAAACCGTTTCTTGGATAGCCTGATTTATCAAGCGGTTTTTGACCGTTGCGTCCGGGCTGGCGGAAATTATACTTCAGCCATGTGCGCGAAAATTGGACCTAACCGCGCTTCAACAAAGGACTTCGAGGTCCATGTGCTCCATTGGCCACATACTCTGGCAGGGCCAATTGGTTGGGAAAAGATAGGTTTATGACGTGGCAATTGTAAATTGCGTAACACCTGGCATTTTCAACTTCATTCCAAGGATCGACGGTCTAGATTCGTTATGTCGGCTGAATGGGTGGTGATATTTTCAGTAGTCAGCAGTCAGCAGTACAGTTGTTGGACGCTCAGTTGATCTTCGATCAATTTGAGTCTACAGAAGAAGCGAGTGACCACGACAAGCGGGTCGCTCGGCTAGATCGCCAATCCCAGGCCGATAATGTAGATCGACGGCTTTGAGCTCTCGGGCCTAACACATCCCTGGCCAAGCCAAATTGATCAGTGAAGGCTGGCCTCAGTCAGCCTGAGGGGAAGGTTGGATTCAGCTCCAGTCTCCTGATTCACACGCAGTCCAAATTCACCACTCCAGCCTTGTCCTTGAAATCAGACTAGAATGTGGAGATCATGAGCTATTAGAAGTACAGCAGCAGAGAGTGTGGAGAGTTTAGTTTAGCCTGTTGAGTTTTTGCTTGAGTTTATAATTCTTTCTGAGAACAGCTATTACTTTTTTTAATTGTTTTCCTCATTTATTTTGCCTTCGGTGGCGTCGAGACGTCTACAATGCCGATTACTATGATCGCGTCTCGCGTCTCGAAGCTGTTGCTGGATCCGAATCTGAGAGATGGCTTTTTCAAGGTCGCGCATCTTGAGAAGTCGTTAAAGTCACATAGACCACTGAAGCATCTACCGTCAGCTTATTCCAAGGCGGAGCACGTCCATGGGAAGGCCTTGACAATAATCAGCATGATAGCCATGCTCGTGCTGACTCCTCCGATCGCCATGTACATGTAAGATAACGGGTACTATGAATATGATACATTGGATTGCCAAATATTGAAATTGATCAGCAATAACGGAATTTATCATTCTCTCACTAAACGTTACTCATATTGAGGTGCAGGTGGTTTATTATGGCAAAAACGGACGGATCGATACTTCAATTCTGGCAGTTTTTGCAAAGCAAGGAATCCATTATGGATGGTCTCCTGGAGGCCTGGCCGTCGCCCTTTTCCCCCATCGCATGGAAAATTATTGGCACGTTCGCAGCATTCGAAGCACTTCTTCAGGTGCGTTGCTGGTTGCCCCTGTCATAAGTAAACCAACTATTTGAGATTCCGGTTTTCTGACCAGATTGGATTACGTTAGAGGGATGTTTCTAAGCGCCTTTCATTCCCTCACTTCTGCAGGTTCTGTTGCCTGGAAAGGAATTTGTTGGACCAGTTTCACCAGCTGGAAACCGACCAATTTATTGGGTAAGATCAATGAGATCAACAGATTCCCGTCCTCCCACTCTTCTTTCGTTCCGATTCCGTGTCACTAGCAACTACGTCCGTGTCGGAAACGTCCACCTCCTTCTTCGCATCCTTCGCAATTTCCACCTTCAACCTGTCGCGTATATCTCCTGGGTGCACTCCAATGCGAGAGATTTCCAGTTCCTTTAACTAACATCTTTCCTATCTTCATTATGCCCTGCAGTGTAACGGATTCCAAGCATACATGGTCTCCATTGTCACATACATCTTCATCTGGAGGTACAGCCTGCTTGGCCTTTGGTTGCTGGACCCATCACCTCATGTTTTACAAGTCGAATTCTGCCATGTATTTGCGATTTCTCTGCATGGTGTTTAGGACTGTCGCAATTCCCATGAGGATCGCCCATGCAGCATACTTCTCACAAATTTTCACAATCTAACCAGTCCGTGTAAAGCACCCACACAGCAGATTCTCATGCATGGTTTGACTGGTGGAACTCCTTTGATTCCCTTCCTCCCTTTCTCCAGAGCCGGGTGGTTCAACCCGTCCCTCGTGTACGACAACTTCGGCAGCATCCTCTCTGCTCTCAACGTCGTCAGCTTGCTCCTCTGCCTCTTCCTCTACGCCAAGGTATGCTCTCTCGCTCGTGCTTATCGATTCCGATTTTTTTTGTTTCATTTTGTTTGTCTCGTCTGCGTGAAAGTCAGCTGACACAAGCTGTTCTGTGGCTGGCTTGCTCAGGGTCACCTTGCTCCGTCGTCCTCTGACTGGGGTTCTTCCGGAAACTTTATTCAAGACTTCTTCTGGGTGAGGGTCCTCTCTCATCTTCCTGCCCCGTTTCTTTCGTCGCTTCGTTGTCACCCCGTGACGTGACTGTACCAGTTGCAGTGCTGTCTGTTTCCACGCGCTGGCCGTCCCTCTGCCTGTGTGCCTGTCCGTCTGCACACTAATATCGACGTTGTGGTTCTGTGCTTCTTTCTGTATTCCACTCCAATTCCCAGGGCATGGAGCTGTACCCACGCATCGGCAAGTACTTCGACATCAAGACGTTCACCAACTGCCGCTTTGGCATGATGTCATGGGCGCTGCTGGCCGTCACGTACGCCATCAAGCAGCTGGAGGCGAGCGGCAGTGTAGCGGATTCCATGGTTGTGAGCGTGGCGCTCATGCTGGTTTACATCTCCAAGTTCTTCTACTGGGAGTCGGGGTACTGGAGCACTATGGACATCCAGCACGACCGCGGTGAGTACCTGATGTATTGTTGAGCAACAGTACAGTACTTTTTCTGTCACTTATGGGATATCTCAATTGTCATGCTCGAGTACATATCCAAGTTCTTCTACTGGGAGTCGGGATACTGGAGCACCATGGACATCCAGCACGACCGCGGTGAGCCTTTTTGGAACCAATGAACTCCAGTGCTTCTTTGTCACTTCTGTTGGGAGTTGTAGCAATATCACGGGTTTGGGTCACCTCTACTCCTTGTCGTTCGCGAATCCATACCTGGGATGTTTCAGCTTGTCCTGCCTGAACCCAATTGTGTCCACCCAATAAACACCGTCTCCTTCTCCACATCCTCTGAATTGGCCCTGACTGGACTCATCTATTCCCGTTTTTGGTGTCTGCTCTCCCAGACCCTCCCCTCCCCTCACCTCCCATCTTATCCTCCTCTTTCTCCCTTTGTGCTTCTCTCAATCCCGGTCCTCCTGCTGCTCCCATCAGCCGGCTACTACCTCTGCTGGGGATGCATGGTGTGGGTGCCCTGCATCTACACCTCGCCCGCCCTCTACCTCGTCAACCACCCCCTGCACCTCGGCACTCCTGTGAGTACCGGTCCTCCCAGCGTGCCTCTCCGCGTGCCTGCTTGTCTGCCTGCTTGCTTCTCTCTCTGCCTCCCTGCTTGTCTCCCTGCTTACCCCCCCCTTCTCTACCCATTCCCATTATTTCTTCTCCCCCAATCTGCCCTCCTTGCATGCATTGAACCAGTTTTGTTCATGGGTTTTTAGTCCGCTCATACCCCTCTTCCAGCCGACTCAACAGTCTGAGGTCCTCTATCTCCCTCTTTCTTCCCCTCCGCAGGTCGCTCTGGCCATGTTTCTGTGCGGCTGTGCATGCATTGCAATCAACTATGACTCGGACCGCCAACGACAGCACTTCCGGTCCACACATGGCCGCTGCACCATCTGGGGCCGCCCTCCTGCCAAGGTGGGCTTCATGACCCCTGTCAAGGTGGGCCTTCCGGCCAGGAATATGTCATTTGCCTGTTTTGAGCTGCAAAACGGCGCAGAATGAACCAAAGAAACATGGATAATCAAGGAAACCGTGCATTAAGACTTCGTGAAACGAGCTGTCATCCATCCCATCGCCCTCCCCATCTGTGATGCAGATTGAAGCAGACTACGTGACAGAGAAGGGCGAGAACAAGAAGAGCCTGCTGCTTGCTTCAGGATGGTACGAACCATGCTACTCTTCCATTCATACTCCATACGTCTCTCCCAAAATCTTCCTGTAGTTTCTCCTACACTGTTCTCCCTGCTAGCATGACCTCGCCTCCTCGCCTTCTCCTGCCTTCAACCGTCTGCAACCCTTGCTGCTGTGTGCTTGATTATCGCCCTTGCTGCTGTGTGCGGTGCAGGTGGGGGCTCTCACGCCACTTCCACTACGTGCCTGAAATCCTTGCTTCTTTCTTCTGGACCTTCCCAGCGCTCTTCAACAATGTAAGGCGCTTCCACACGCACTGTACCATGCACTTCGTTCCATAAGGGGGGTAGCTCACAAGTAAACTAACTGACTATGCTGTGTCCGCATGTTCCATAGTTACCTTCTCGCGTTTCAGTCTCCCATTTCCTTTGATAGCGATTCTCTGTCTCGTTTTCCTTCCCTGTGCTGCACTCTAACAGGGAATTCAGTATTTCTACTGCATCTACCTCACAGTCCTCCTATTCGACCGAGCTGTTCGTGATGACGTGCGCTGCAAAAAGAAGTGAGTTTTGTTGTTGCTAAGCTGTGAAACATGTGAGATTCTCATTTATATGTGAGATGTGAGTTTGCCATTTTGTTGTGAACCGGATGAGTTTGGCGTTGTGTTGTGGGACGTAAGTTTTCCATTTGCTGGGGCGTGGGACTTGGCCATGGTATTGTGAGACGCAGCAAAGCCCGCTGTTTGATGGACGACATTGTTACCACTGTTCAGCCGGTGCAAGAATGTCTTTCCTGCCTGGCCTCTTGCTTGTTCTGTTACTACCACTTTCTCGTTCGTACCCATGTTCTCCACCCTCCACCCTCCTCCCCTTGTCACTCCATTTACCTACCCACATGTTTTTCAGGTATGGCAAGTTCTGGGACAAGTACTGCAAGTTGGTACCTTACAAGGTGGTTCCTGGCATCTTTTAGAACAGGCCCTTGTCCTGGAACTAATATCTTCACTGTGATAGTTTTCTGTTTGCCCATAAGGCAAGGAGTGTATGGAAAGAGTAATGTGAATGTTTACTCTGAAGTTGTATACACGCTGGCTGGGCATGCTGCCCGCAATTCATCTAGAACATCAGAGTTTGGAGAACACTTCCCTGCTAGATTTTTGAAAGGGAAGATATTTAGCTAGCGATGCTGTGAAAAGACTAGTGAAGCATGACATTGTTGTGCTGAATGTTTCCTTATCAGCTGATGGCTATACAAGAAGTTTTCACATCAGCAGGCAGGCAGTCCATACTCTAAACGATACTCCCCGAGCTTTTCAAGGTACCGGTAGATAGTGTAAGATGAGGATTGGCTGTACAAAAATGCCATTCTGATACTGCGTGTAGAAGTCCTCCAGCTTTCCCCCAATCGTGTCCAGATGCTTCCAGCCCTCTATAAGCTTTGGCATGCGCAGTGGACCGTACACCCTGTGTGCGTTAAAAGCAATAGTGTCATTTCCCACTGGTACTCCCAAGTAAAATAGCCCTTCTGGTTTCACCAAGCCTTGGATCTGAAAGCAGGGAAGAAAGGGAGAGGGAAAGTTGAGATGGGAAGTGGGTTATGGGAAGGGTAAGCCGAGGAATTAGCTAACTGGAAAACACACAGACAGGCACCTGACTTGACACAACAACTATTAGGGAGGAAGAAGGACCACCCACAACCCATTTCAACCACTCTGTAGCCCAGAACAAACCTTTTTCATCCGTTGTAGGTCGCCCGTGGGATTCATGGGATCGCCGTATCTCCCCAACCCGTCATGCTCGACCGACGAGAACGAAACAATCACGTCGAACACATCATCCATCGCATCTAATTGCTCGATCTAGATCGACTTGATCCTAGGGTGTGACACCACCGGAGGGTTGAAATCAACGGTCGTGATCGACCCTGCATCAGCTGCAATGCAGATCGCTTCCACCCAAGGAGTCTGACTGCCGATAATGAGTACACTTTTTCCTCTAATCGGATAGCGATCAAACGCCTCGAAAAAAAACAATGACGACGAGTCGTCGTAGCCGCTGAGATGCCCGGATGACAAATTTCGCGAGCGGGCCACCTGAAGCATGCTGTTGATTTCCTCGTCTGTCCAAACGGGTGGAACCGCGCCGGAATCTGGAGCGTCGGTATTGAAGAAAAACGGCTGCATTGCAATCTGGCCGTTCATCGTGTAGAGGTCGCGAATCGATGGCCGGATCCAGTCCCACGGCACAGGTCCGGGAAAACCGAAGCTGTCTATGTGAAAGCGAGACGGACGAACGGTCTGCTTGAGCGACATCGGTGCGGTAACCACTACAGATGCATTTCGTACGGAATCATTGCGAGGCACTACTGTATCTGTAGAGTCAGAGAAGTTAGTGGAAGTTAGCTTCGAGTCCCTAACAGCGCCAGGTAGGAGGACGGAATTGGATCCCGATAGAAGCGTGTTTCGGTGTACGCTTATCGAGTCAGCTTGCGGGGATATCGTAACTGTTTGTAGGGATTCCAGAACACGAACGGGAAAGCAGGGATGGACAATAGACGGGGGAGGGGAGGGAGGGGAAGTGGGTGGGTGGGGGGAGGGGGGAATGACCGAGATGGAAGGGGATGGTTAGCCTAAATTATGCCCCTGTCACTACATTCCAAATGACTTCCGACTCTAAATCGGCAAATGTTCAACAAATCTAGTGCAGCCTCGCACTATGAACATGAAAAAACAGGTGTTTCTCATCATGTATCAAAACCTTAGGACGCTAACAGGTGCTGTCCGTTACCTTGCACGGATCTATTTTCGAGAATAACGACGGCGAGGAAGGTGAAAGAGCACACAATGAGGACCTCCTTCCACATGATGCCGCCTTTGCCCATCGCAGTCGCTGCCGTTGAAGTTAACATCCTGCAACTTCTTAACGGATCTGCTTGTTATCCAACTGTGCCGTCACGGCATCGCTTAGTCGGAATGAATTAAACGAATAAAAACAAGACGATTTATTGAGAACCCTAAAATGCACTGTTATTCTTCTGCGCACAATAAGGACATGGCGAATGAATTGGGTAGGAGGAACATGAGAACAGGATGAGGCGCGGTTACCAGGTGTGTACAGTATACAATACGGTATCAAGGTTTTGGGTGTGGGGAGGCAGCTTCGCCAATCCCAGATGATTCGACAAGCGTCGCATATTTCGTCAAACAGCACGTCGCGAGCGAGCATACAGTTCGCATAACTCGCATTGGTTTGGGTTGTTTGGTAGGACTCATGGTAAAGTGTGGTGCGACGCGGCAGGAGCAATATGCATTTCTGTCTCCTGGGTTTGTTCAGGTGTTGAATGTGAGTTACAGTTTTCGGTGGCTTCGTGAACCAGCTTAACCATCAACTAATCATCGCACATGTAATATAAGGCCTCCAATGTGGATGTAAAAGGTGTACTCATGTACGCGCTTTGGAGTGTTCGTGAAGGATTCGTTTTACATCAGTCAATGCAAGTCAGCATCTGCCGTGAATCTCGGCGGCCAGAATTATTGGAGCCGCGCCAAACCTTGCCATGAACGTTTGTGTTCCGCGAACCGCCCACTCATAATTCTGGTGAAGTGCATTGCAAGGCACATCTGCTTCACGATTGACCAAACCACAATTATTGAGGGCGCCACGAAGGCCAGACAGCTTGCCCAACTCCGACTCCACTCCGAAGGGGGAGAGAAGCATCATATAAGCGGCTTATTTGGCTGTGTGCTCCTCATTCATTGACCCTTCACATAGTCAGGCGCGTTTACCTTATTCTCTCCTTCCAGATTTTGCGTGTCAACTTTTGACCCGTCCTCGTCCCCACGCCGCTTGAGATGGCCATTTTCGATGGAAAGTCAACTCGTCGTTTCTTCTTCTCTGCTTTCCTTTTGGTTCTGCTGCTGGACGTAGCATATGGCACCGATTGCTCCTCCTTCTGCGGGGCTTACACCACACCGCTCATAAGCTCGGATTGTCTCTCCAATTGCCAGGTGATTTTTTCAATCTACGAAAATTCAGGAAACAACAATAAAAGAAGGAACTGCAATATTTTTAGTCAAGCTACTCGCTGCGGTCTAGAATAACTCACACACGTCCATATCTCATGCCAAAATTTGTCGTAATTAAGGCTCCGAATACAACTTCTGCATTCTTTCCCATTTTTTCCCCTCCCCTCTTCGCGTCTCCCTCCCTCCTCTTCCCCATCAGACGTGCGAGGCGACAGCCAAGCCGTTTCTGTGCATCGCTTATTTCAGCGATAAAAGCTCCACGCACTGTAAGTCCGTATGCCCCTGTTGTGAGCGGCGCATAACGCACTGTAATTTCGCGTGCCCCAACAGGCCGTGAAAGGCGCATAACGCATTGTAAGCAGGGGGGTGTTCGTACAGCTGTTGGCTTTCTCCTCCTCCCCGCTCGTCCTTGTTTTTCCGTTTCTACCGGTTTCGCCCTTTCCGTTGTAGGCAATTTTGAGAGGACTCAAAGGCTACACCGTAATTCGACCTTCTACCCCTTCCGTTCTTACTGCGCCTGCAGCTGCAGCTGCTGGGGTGCATATTGAGTCGACTTAAACCTTCTCCCCTCTACCTTCACCCGCTTCCTTCGCTCGCTCTTCCGTTCCCCTCGCAGGGAGTTGCTCGTACAGCTGCAGGCCTCGCGTGCTGCTGTTGATAGGATTCATTATTGTCAATCTCTGGGACTTTTCAAAATAGCACTTCGTTCGTTCGTTCGTACAGCTGTCCCGTCGCAGGGGGGTGCTCGTACAGCTGCTGGCCTCGCGTGGTGCTGTGGCTCGGAAGTGCTCTCGTCGTTGGTCTGATCGTCCTTGTCGTCTTCTGCTGTCTGCGCCGAAACCGCAAGATCGCCGAGCAGAAATACGCCGGCAATGCCCCGCCTGCGGCCGCGGGGGCAACGTACCCGCAGCCTGGAGGCTATCCTCCTGCAGTCAACGTGTAACATCGTGCTACAACCGTACGATGCTGCTATTCAGGAGGTTTTTGGTCGAGAACCTTCACAATAAAAAGGCAAATAAATCTTAGCTTGGGAGCCTGGCCTTGGCTCTGTGAGAGCCGCTGGGTTCAACCGCTACTCAAGAGATTATCATGTGTTAGTTTTTAAGCTATCATCATTCAACCGATTGTGTTACCTTAGTTTGTTTCAGTGTTTTTTTTAAGCTATCATCATTGAACCGATTGTGTTACCTTAGTTTGTTTCAACTACTCTCTGATGGTTGTCCTCCTTCGGGTTGACTCACTGTGACTGGATTAAACTGTCACACATCACCATAACAGCACACAATAAACAGGTTGCAAAACTGCTTTGTTATTGTGTACATAACCGAGCCAATCTATTCCTCTTATTTGTTTGTTTCAACTACTCCCTGATGGCTGCCCACCATCGGGTTGAGTCACCGTGACTGGATTGAACTGTCACACATCGTTATATGAACACACACCAGGAAGGTGGGGGAGTGGAATATATGAGGGCGAAGGTGGGTGGTTACCAATGGAATGTGGACGATGGGTTTGGAAAGATGAAATCAAAGGAAAATCGCAGTGACTAGAAGTAGCGTGCATGTGGACTGGCTGTGCTGATGAGAGGCAAGAAAAGGAGGCAGGGACGAAAATGACCTAGTTTTGAGACGTCTCGTTTTGAGACGTCTCAAATGCTGATGAGAGGCAAGAAAAGGAGGCAGGGACGAAAATGACTCAACTGTTGGCATGGAAATGCTGCTTGTGAACACATTTTTTCAACCAGCACACATTAGGGACTACCATAATGAGTTCAAGCTTGTACTAAAGAAACTTATACTGGTGTACAAATGTTCTCACCTGGTACACTGAATAAATCACGTTTCGCCGGATCTGCCCCATCATCGCAAGGAAAAGGTTGTACCCTTCAAGCTTGTACTCGATAAGAGGGTCTCGTTGCGCATATCCCCTTAAAGCCACCGCCTGCTGGGTGAATCTGAGCGCCTGCAGATGCTCCTTCCAGAGCAGATCCATCTGAGTGAGCACAAAGTACCGCTCTGCATCCCTCATTAACCCTGGAACTGCTGCTTCTACCTCTGCCTGTAAAAGGAGGGACAAAGAGGTTGAGGGAAATGATTCTGAGTGCCTGCAGGTGCAGTGCTGTTTTCACACCAGAGTCCATTTGAAGGGTTTGGAGGGGTTTGGAATGGTGACGCGGCGAACAATAAATGTGAAATGGTGAAAAGAGTGCGTCACAGCTGGTCCATTAATGACCATAGGGTACCGCACTGCATCCCTCATAACAACTGGCTCTGCCTGCTCCACTTCAGTCGGAGCCCAGGGGATGGAACAAGTTGGGGAGATCAAATTCCGCCACACAAAAAAAGGAGTGGGACAGACATTATCCTTTTGGGGCACCTTACGGCCAAGCTTGAAGGCTCGGCTTGAAGGGAACTGATGTAACAGATGCAATCACGCATAAACACTGACTTAGAACACAGTGGACACATTTCAACACGACAGGGAAGCTTTCACGCACCTTCTTTGTGTAGTAGGCATCTTTACTGCGTTGGTGTAGATACTCCCTCAGAGTGTCTACAGTGTCGCTGTGATAGATAATGTCATCTATAGATAAATCCGTGAGCAGAGCACAGTACCTGCAGGAGCGGGTATATGAAGGACGAAGAGGGAGAAAAGGAAGGGTACACTCGAGGGGGTATTCGGTGCAATGGAGATAGCACCGTCTAGTTTTGAGGCGCCTCAAAACTGGATTCGGTGCAATGGAGATAGAGCTGTCTATGGGCAACCAAGTGCTAGGAAGAAGAAGAAGAAGAGGAAGAAGAGGAAGAAGAGGAAGAAGAGGAAGAAGAGGTAGAAGAGGAGAAGAGGAAGGAGAGGAAGAGAAAAAGAAAAAAGAAACATCACCACGAGGAGCATTCACTAGAGGATTTGAAATGATTAGCATAAATGAGAAGAACTGCAGCACTTACTGCTTGACCTTCTTTGTAAGAGGCTCAAAGTTCCACTCTTCCTGTGACAGTGATGGGTCGATGTTCGCCTGGAGTGGGGGGGAGAACAGTTGGAGTGAGAGCAGACAAAGTGAGAGCAGAGGAAAGGAGAAAGGGGAGGAGAGCGGAGCACACTCCATCATGTTCCACCGAAACGACCAACTTCAGAGCATGGCACGGCACCTGACTGCATTGCACCTTACCGCATCGCACCTGATTCCACCACCTCTCACATGGACGATATCGTCCATGGTCAGCCGGTTCTGCATACCCCAGCATGAGCCCCTCCGCAAGGACGAGCTTCACAGCATGGCATGCCACCTCACTGCACCGCACTTGACCGCAATGCACCTCACTTCACCCCTCACTCACATTGACAATGTCATCCGTGGTCAGCGCTGCATACTCCAGCAGCATCAACCCCTCCAGAAGGACGAGCACCTGACAGTGACGGTATTGCTCCTCTTTGCACCGCACCTGACCGCATCGCACCTGACAGCACACCGCCCCTCACATTGACAATGTCGTCCATGGTCAGCTCTGCATACTCCAGCATCAGCCCCACCAGAAGGACGAGCTTCACAGTATGGGATGTCCCTTAACCGCATCACACTTGATAATAGTACCGCACTTGACCGCATCGCACCTGACAGCACTGCCTCCCACATTGACAATGTCGTCCATGGTCAGCTCTGCATACTCCAGCATCAGCCCCTCCAGGTAGATGAGCTTCACAGTATGGCATGCCACCTCACTGCACCGCACCTGACCGAATCACACCTGACACTATCGCGCTTTACCGCATTGCACCTGACAGCACCCCCCCTCACATTGACAATGTCGTCCATGGTCAGCTGTGCATACTCTAGCATCGGCCCCTTTAGAGCAACAGTCAACTGACAGTGTCACCACCGCATTTGAACTTACCGCACCTGACTCCACCCCTCACTCACATTGACAATGTCGTCCATGGTCAGCTGTGCATACTCCAACATCAGCCCCTCCAGGTCATCTGTCTCCAGCGCTCTCCTCCTCTCCGAGTAGAACCGCTCCCTCTGGCTGTTCAGCACCTGGTGGGTAGGGAGGTTGGAAGTGCACAGACTGGTAAGCCAGACACTGCAACAGCGATATTAGAACTGCACAGGACCATGCCACATCACACCAGGTCCTCTGTCTCCAGCGCTCTCCTCCTCTCCGAGTAGAACCGCTCCCTCTGGCTGTTCAGCACCTTGTGGTTATCGGAAGAGCACAGAGTGAAACCGGGGTGTCAGCATTCAAAGCCATCAAGTTACCGCACACCACCGTACCGCACCACACTATATCCTCACTCGTATTCAAACAGCTGCTTGCAAATATCAGAGTAGAAGTTCTCCACCTTCCTCTGCGCATCTTCCAGCGAAGAATACACCGGTATCAGTGCACTCCCTAAGGGCCGCACCACACACACAGCACCACACCACACCGCACTGCACCGCACCACACGCCCTACCCTGCAGCACACACACCCACCTGGTCGTATTCGAACAGCTGCTTGCGAATATCAAAGTAGTAATTCTCCACCTTCCTCTGCATGCCCTCTACCACAGACTGGACCAGTATCAGTACACACCCTATGAGCCACATTGCACCGCACCACACCACGCCCCACCTGGTCGTATTCGAACAGCTGCTTGCGAATGTCAAAGTAGTAATTCTCCACCTTCCTCTGCGCGTCCTCCAGCGCAGACAACACACCCTATGGACCGAACTGCACCGCACCACACACCACTCTACAGATCTGCAACCCACCTGGTCGTATTCAAACAGCTGCTTGCGAATATCGAAGTAGTAGTTCTCCACCTTCCTCTGCGCATCCTCCAATGCAGACTGGACCTGTATCAGTGCAAACCCTACGGGCTGCACTGCACCGCACCGCACTGCACCACACCCCACCCACCTGGTCATATTCGAACAGCTGCTTGCGAATGTCAAAATAGTAGTTCTCCACCTTCCTCTGCGCATCCTCAAGCGCTCGGTTGAGAAACGGCGATTCGATGGGCAGATCCTCCACGTGGAAGGCCCTCATTAGCCCGTCGATGCGCTCGCCCCCAAACACACGCAGGAGGTTATCTTCCAAACTCAGAAAGAAGCGTGAGCTCCCTGGGTCCCCTTGCCTCCCGCTGCGGCCACGTAGCTGGTGGATGCACGGAGAACAGGGAGTTGGAATTGGGGGAGCAGGCAGGAAAAAGGGCGAAGGAGAGCAGCAGCAGTGAGAAACGGCGACTCGATGGGCAGATCCTCCACGTGGAAGGCCCTCATCAGCCCGTCGATGCGCTCGCCGCCAAACACTCTTCGAGGCTGAGGACGAAGCGAGGGAGTGGGGAGGGAGTGGGACTCGATGGGCAGATCCTCCACATGGAAGGCCCTCATCAGCCCGTCGATCCTCTCTCCCCCAAACACTCTCAGCAGACTGTCCTCCAGGCTCAGGAAGAAGCGTGAGCTCCCTGGGTCCCCCTGCCTCCCGCTGCGGCCACGTAGCTGGAAGCACGGAGAAAAGGGAGTTGAGATTGGGGGGAACAGGTGGGAAACAGGGGGGAGGAGAGCAGCAGCAGGAATGGAAACGGCGACTCGATGTGCAGATCCTCCACGTGGAAGGCCCTCATCAGCCCGTCGATCCTCTCGCCCCCAAACACCCGCAGCAAGTTCACCTGTAGCAGTGAAGGTTTACAATAACGGTGTATAAAAAAATTCATCTGCGGGGAGGTTCAGGAAGACGAAGGAGGCGGCGGTGTGGGCGGCCATCACCCGGATTCTGCACACCGAGGAGCCTGATGAGGAAAAGAGAAAGAGGGATGCAAAATCACCCCGATTTTCATTTCCTCATCATCCTCCTCGGTATGCAAAATTCGGGTAATGACCGCCCACACCGCCGCCTCCCTCCTCTTCTTGAACCTCTCCCCCTGATGATTTTTTTATACCCTGTTATTGTAAACATTCACCGCCACAACAATCCTCCTGCAACAGTCAGCAAAGAGATCCAGGAATTCGATCGATTGCGGGGCAAGAAGATTGATGTGATCATGCAGGCCCTCCGCGATTGCTTTTGAGTCGACTCAAAAGCAGGCTATAAGCAGTTCCTGACTAAGACTACGTAGCTGCACTGCATGGAAGGAGACGAAGAGTGAACTGCTGGGATCTCCTTGCCGTGGTCTGATGTGCCGATGACATTTTGAGGCGCCTCACAAGTTGATGTGCCGATGACATTTTGAGGCGCCTCACAAGTTGATGTGCTGATGACATTTTGAGGCGCCTCACAAGTTGATGTGCCGATGACATTTTGAGGCGCCTCACAAGTTGATGTGCCGATGACATTTTGAGGCGCCTCACAAGTTGATGTACCGATGACATTTTGAGGCGCCTCACAAGTTGATGTGCCGATGACATTTTGAGGCGCCTCACAAGTTGATGAGCTGATGACATTTTGAGGCGCCTCACAAGTTGATGTGCCGATGACATTTTGAGGCGCCTCACAAGTTGATGTGCTGATGACATTTTGAGGCGCCTCACAAGTTGATGTGCCGATGACATTTTGAGGCGCCTCACAAGTTGATGTGCCGATGACATTTTGAGGCGCCTCACAAGTTGATGTGCTGATGACATTTTGAGGCGCCTCACAAGTTGATGTGCCGATGACATTTTGAGGCGCCTCACAAGTTGATGTGCCGATGACATTTTGAGGCGCCTCACAAGTTGATGTGCCGATGACATTTTGAGGCGCCTCACAAGTTGATGTGCCGATGACATTTTGAGGCGCCTCACAAGTTGATGTACCGATGACATTTTGAGGCGCCTCACAAGTTGATGTGCCGATGACATTTTGAGGCGCCTCACAAGTTGATGAGCTGATGACATTTTGAGGCGCCTCACAAGTTGATGTGCCGATGACATTTTGAGGCGCCTCACAAGTTGATGTGCTGATGACATTTTGAGGCGCCTCACAAGTTGATGTGCCGATGACATTTTGAGGCGCCTCACAAGTTGATGTGCCGATGACATTTTGAGGCGCCTCACAAGTTGATGTGCTGATGACATTTTGAGGCGCCTCACAAGTTGATGTGCCGATGACATTTTGAGGCGCCTCACAAGTTGATGTGCCGATGACATTTTGAGGCGCCTCACAAGTTGATGTGCCGATGACATTTTGAGGCGCCTCACAAGTTGATGTGCTGATGACATTTTGAGGCGCCTCACAAGTTGATGTGCCGATGACATTTTGAGGCGCCTCACAAGTTGATGTGCCGATGACATTTTGAGGCGCCTCACAAGTTGATGAGCTGATGACATTTTGAGGCGCCTCACAAGTTGATGTGCCGATGACATTTTGAGGCGCCTCACAAGTTGATGTGCTGATGACATTTTGAGGCGCCTCACAAGTTGATGTGCCGATGACATTTTGAGGCGCCTCACAAGTTGATGTGCCGATGACATTTTGAGGCGCCTCACAAGTTGATGTGCTGATGACATTTTGAGGCGCCTCACAAGTTGATGTGCCGATGACATTTTGAGGCGCCTCACAAGTTGATGTGCTGATGACATTTTGAGGCGCCTCACAAGTTGATGTGCCGATGACATTTTGAGGCGCCTCACAAGTTGATGTGCCGATGACATTTTGAGGCGCCTCACAAGTTGATGTGCTGATGACATTTTGAGGCGCCTCACAAGTTGATGTGCCGATGACATTTTGAGGCGCCTCACAAGTTGATGTGCCGATGACATTTTGAGGCGCCTCACAAGTTGATGTGCTGATGACATTTTGAGGCGCCTCACAAGTTGATGTGCCGATGACATTTTGAGGCGCCTCACAAGTTGATGTGCTGATGACATTTTGAGGCGCCTCACAAGTTGATGTGCCGATGACATTTTGAGGCGCCTCACAAGTTGATGTGCCGATGACATTTTGAGGCGCCTCACAAGTTGATGTGCTGATGACATTTTGAGGCGCCTCACAAGTTGATGTGCCGATGACATTTTGAGGCGCCTCACAAGTTGATGTGCCGATGACATTTTGAGGCGCCTCACAAGTTGATGTGCTGATGACATTTTGAGGCGCCTCACAAGTTGATGTGCCGATGACATTTTGAGGCGCCTCACAAGTTGATGTGCTGATGACATTTTGAGGCGCCTCACAAGTTGATGTGCTGATGACATTTTGAGGCGCCTCACAAGTTGATGTGCCGATGACATTTTGAGGCGCCTCACAAGTTGATGTGCTGATGACATTTTGAGGCGCCTCACAAGTTGATGTGCTGATGACATTTTGAGGCGCCTCACAAGTTGATGTGCTGATGACATTTTGAGGCGCCTCACAAGTTGATGTGCTGATGACATTTTAAAGGTGCCTCACAAGTTGATGTGCCGATGACATTTTGAGGCGCCTCACAAGTTGATGAGCCGATGACATTTTGAGGCGCCTCACAAGTTGATGTGCCGATGACATTTTGAGGCGCCTCACAAGTTGATGTGCTGATGACATTTTGAGGCGCCTCACAAGTTGATGTGCCGATGACATTTTGAGGCGCCTCACAAGTTGATGTGCTGATGACATTTTGAGGCGCCTCACAAGTTGATGTGCCGATGACATTTTGAGGCGCCTCACAAGTTGATGTGCTGATGACATTTTGAGGCGCCTCACAAGTTGATGTGCTGATGACATTTTGAGGCGCCTCACAAGTTGATGTGCTGATGACATTTTAAAGGTGCCTCACAAGTTGATGTGCTGATGACATTTTGAGGCGCCTCACAAGTTGATGAGCCGATGACATTTTGAGGCGCCTCACAAGTTGATGTGCTGATGACATTTTGAGGCGCCTCACAAGTTGATGTGCCGATGACATTTTGAGGCGCCTCACAAGTTGATGTGCTGATGACATTTTGAGGCGCCTCACAAGTTGATGTGCCGATGACATTTTGAGGCGCCTCACAAGTTGATGTGCTGATGACATTTTGAGGCGCCTCACAAGTTGATGTGCTGATGACATTTTAAAGGTGCCTCACAAGTTGATGTGCTGATGACATTTTGAGGCGCCTCACAAGTTGATGAGCCGATGACATTTTGAGGCGCCTCACAAGTTGATGAGCCGATGACATTTTGAGGCGCCTCACAAGTTGATGTGCCGATGACATTTTGAGGCGCCTCACAAGTTGATGTGCCGATGACATTTTGAGGCGCCTCACAAGTTGATGTGCTGATGACATTTTGAGGCGCCTCACAAGTTGATGTGCCGATGACATTTTGAGGCGCCTCACAAGTTGATGTGCTGATGACATTTTGAGGCGCCTCACAAGTTGATGTGCCGATGACATTTTGAGGCGCCTCACAAGTTGATGTGCCGATGACATTTTGAGGCGCCTCACAAGTTGATGTGCTGATGACATTTTGAGGCGCCTCACAAGTTGATGTGCCGATGACATTTTGAGGCGCCTCACAAGTTGATGTGCTGATGACATTTTGAGGCGCCTCACAAGTTGATGTGCCGATGACATTTTGAGGCGCCTCACAAGTTGATGTGCCGATGACATTTTGAGGCGCCTCACAAGTTGATGTGCTGATGACATTTTGAGGCGCCTCACAAGTTGATGTGCCGATGACATTTTGAGGCGCCTCACAAGTTGATGTGCCGATGACATTTTGAGGCGCCTCACAAGTTGATGTGCCGATGACATTTTGAGGCGCCTCACAAGTTGATGTGCTGATGACATTTTGAGGCGCCTCACAAGTTGATGTGCCGATGACATTTTGAGGCGCCTCACAAGTTGATGTGCTGATGACATTTTGAGGCGCCTCACAAGTTGATGTGCCGATGACATTTTGAGGCGCCTCACAAGTTGATGTGCTGATGACATTTTGAGGCGCCTCACAAGTTGATGTGCCGATGACATTTTGAGGCGCCTCACAAGTTGATGTGCCGATGACATTTTGAGGCGCCTCACAAGTTGATGTGCCGATGACATTTTGAGGCGCCTCACAAGTTGATGTGCTGATGACATTTTGAGGCGCCTCACAAGTTGATGTGCCGATGACATTTTGAGGCGCCTCACAAGTTGATGTGCCGATGACATTTTGAGGCGCCTCACAAGTTGATGTGCCGATGACATTTTGAGGCGCCTCACAAGTTGATGTGCTGATGACATTTTGAGGCGCCTCACAAGTTGATGTGCCGATGACATTTTGAGGCGCCTCACAAGTTGATGTGCTGATGACATTTTGAGGCGCCTCACAAGTTGATGTGCCGATGACATTTTGAGGCGCCTCACAAGTTGATGTGCCGATGACATTTTGAGGCGCCTCACAAGTTGATGTGCTGATGACATTTTGAGGCGCCTCACAAGTTGATGTGCCGATGACATTTTGAGGCGCCTCACAAGTTGATGTGCCGATGACATTTTGAGGCGCCTCACAAGTTGATGTGCTGATGACATTTTGAGGCGCCTCACAAGTTGATGTGCCGATGACATTTTGAGGCGCCTCACAAGTTGATGTGCCGATGACATTTTGAGGCGCCTCACAAGTTGATGTGCTGATGACATTTTGAGGCGCCTCACAAGTTGATGTGCCGATGACATTTTGAGGCGCCTCACAAGTTGATGTGCTGATGACATTTTGAGGCGCCTCACAAGTTGATGTGCTGATGACATTTTGAGGCGCCTCACAAGTTGATGTGCCGATGACATTTTGAGGCGCCTCACAAGTTGA